AAATCCCAATTTTCCAAACTCAGGGTTTGGGGTTTTTACAAAGGCTTCATTGCACAGGCACAATTGAGTAAATCATTGGTCATTGGTTTTGGGTTCAACCTTCAATATCTCCCACTTCCCACTTAAAGAGGAGACCAGGGGTACTGAGAATAAAAGGTTTACAATCCTCTAGGCACTTTGTGATTCCTTTGGCAGCCGGTGGTGTGATCTAGAACTCATGATTTTAATATAACAAAGACCTTTATTGCTCTCATCATTTATATAAATTTCAAGGACTTTAGGAACTCTAGATCAGAACCTAAACAAAAATCAAATATGTAATTCTTATAAATCACAAAATTATACTATCTACTTATCTTATTGTTCTGTCTCCTAAAAAATACTCAGTGAAAAACTCAGTAAAAATGAATCTCTAAATTTTGACAATCATATGGAAATACTGTTTCTCACATAAAGAAACAGAATCCTTGGAGCCATGCCTTATATTAGGTGAAGAGGATTTAGTTCAGCAGACAAGACTATCGTAAAAGGTTAAAATCATAACAAAAGGAGAACAGAAGCAATTTGAAGAGGCTCCCACAGGCCAAATTGAGGACAACACACAAAAATAAGATCACAACTGCAATTATTAAAACCTGTCAAATACATTTAAACCTAGAGTTCACAATAATAAGGGGGATGGAGCAGAGTAGGAAATTTTAGAAATTCTAAGTATAGGAAATCAGTGAACAAAGAGAGTTTAAGATATAGATTGCAAAGGAAGCTGGGGAAGCTAAAAAAAATACTTAACCATTTCAACAGTTCATAGCAACAGCCTTAACTCATCTTGTCTGACTCAAATAAAATATAAAAAATTTCCACTTGTGAGATAATTGGAAATTTGAACATCAAATGAATACATGATGATACCAAAAATATTTTAAGTGTGAAAATAGTAGGTGGTTATATTTTTAAAGTAAGTTCTTAAATTATGGAGGTATATACTGAAATGCATATATCTGAAATTAACCAAAAAATAATTAGAAAGGTGAAGGGAATTTGTGGAAGTACATTTGAAGAAAGACAGACCAAGAGTTGGTAGATGCTGAAGCAAGATAATGAATCTATGTGTGCTCATTATACTGTTCTTTCCAATTTTATCCTGGTTGAAATTTTCTATATGATTTTTTTAATCAAAAGAGTAAGTTGGAAATAACAGAAAGAAAGGACACCTTTCCCTCTGAGATTGTAAATACTCTGAGTTATTTTCATAACAGCCACCCTTCTACTCTTGCCATCTTCCTCTGAAGAGGATTTTCCTTTTTTGAATCAGCTGAAATATTGCACAATTTCCTGTCAATCAACCTATAAGTTCATTACACTGAAAAACATATACATTTCTCTCACTTCCAAATAGCTAAGCAATAACCCCAATTGTTAACTTCTCCTGATATTTTCAACTTCTTAAAGGGCTCAGTCTTAACATTTAAATATGCACTTACCTCTCTGATCTTCAAAAAATAGTCCCTCTTTTCTCTACTTATAGTTCTTACTTTCCTTTGCAATGAAATTTCTTTTAACAGTTTATTCAGCAATCAAAAATGATAAACTCATGCCCTTCACAGCAACATGGATGGAGCTAGAAGGGATTATGCTCAGTGAAATAAACCAGAAAGAAAGCTAAATATATCAAATGATCTCACTCACAGGAGGAATGTAAAGAAAACAAATAAGGAATCAGAAAAAAAAGTAACTATAATATAATAAAGTGAAAATCAAAATCATCAGGTTTAGATGAGACATTCTGTAGGTGAGTAGGAAGGAGAAGAACCAGGACAGGAGTAGGAAGAGCAGAAGGGACTCTGGTGATGGTGCATGGGGGAACTGGTGGTGGGAATACATTGTACAAAATGAATTATGTAATGAATATATTTTAAAAAAATGAAAAAATGTATCTATTGTGACGGAGACTGAGAGTTATCTCTAAGAGGTCATTCTTTCTGTCTACTATTAGCTGGAAAATAAATAAAACTTACTTTCTTGAAAATGGGACATGGTAGTAAGTGTGTGCAACTAATGCATAATGTCTTTTATAACTTATCTTTTCTCTACTGATTCTTTTTAAAATAAAATTCTTAGCCTGACAGATGATATGTATTTAAATTATATTTGCATTATAAATTTAAACTATGCTATATAGTCTATACTGCTGTAAGAGATCAATATAGAAGCCTAATAATTATTGAGTCAGATATAATCTATATTAGGTTAAATATTATTTGAATGTAAACCAAACCTTTGAAGGCTTTTTGTTTCTGGACCACAAATATCGTGGGTCATCCATTATTGACATATGTTCCTGACCACTGACTCACATTCATTTTACCCTAGTACCAAGACAAGAAGTAGTTTTCTGGTATGTGTGTGTATGTGTAAAAGGAACTTTAGGAGCCAGACATAACAAGCACAAATTTCTATAAAACATTATTAACAAACTAATTAGTAAGTTATTTCACAAGCTGACTAGGAATTTTCTTGTCTCTAAAATGAAAGAGCTTTTGCAAAACTGAAAATTAAGATAAGTGAATAATGGGTTATACCACAGTGAACTAAGCAAATCTTGACTTTTTTTTTCATTATTATTCAATGTTTATTGACAATCTAGTAGGCACTAAGATGAGCTTATTCAATGACAAATAAAGTGCAGATCCTACCTTCAAAGTGATTTTAATCTGATGGGAAACAAATCTTGATAATATTATGATAGTAAGTTTTTGCAGAGTAGATCTGTTACCAGTTCATTTAAATTGACCTGTGAAACAAAACTGCAATTCTCCACTTAATTTGAGCCAACTAAGCAACTAGAAACCACAGGTCAATATCATACAATACTTTTAAAGAACATACCATATCCCACTGTAGAAAGACCCAAGTGTTTCATTCTATTTTTCACAAGTTCAGCAAGCTCTTGTCTTTCAGACCTCCTGTAGAGGTTCAGCCGCTGCTGGGTTATTTTCTCAGCTGTTTTGCCGGAGTGCTTAGGACCTTTTCTGCTCAGTCTTCTGGCCCATTGCATACTCTTTCTCCGCAGTAAGGGATGGTCGGACTGGTCACTGGACGTTGAATTGCGGTGGTGGTTGCTTCGGTGATGACCTTGCTCTTTGGAGTCTTTGGTGTCTTCCCATTCTTCTACACTGATAGATATTTGAGACTTCAAAGAAGATGGATATTGGTAGTTAGATAATTTAGGAATAATTGTATTTTGGAGTTCAACTAGAATTTGTGTGCAAGTATCTTATTATAATTATATATCTACTCATGAGAGTTTTCACAAAAAGAGCAAAATAATAATTGAAATTAATTTTCTGTATAAAACTATTAGTAAATATTTTGAAGTTATATATTAACCAGATGAAATATCTTTGTATTCTCCAGTATCACTTACTATGAAAGGATTTAATTTTTATGCATCAGAATTATCATGAATGACTACTAGCTTGGAATAGTTTGAAATCAAAAACAACTAAGAAGCTAGATACCCTATGATTTTGCTAAATTTACATGTATTATACATGAAATTTAAATAAAAATTATGAATTTTCTTAGTTTTGGAATTAATGTTATTTTGAAGGTTTTAAAATTATTGCTCCTTTTAAGGATATCATTAGAAAGAACTTTATATAATGCTAATTTATTCCCTGATGATCCAGAACAAAAGAATTTTAAAATCATGTATTATTTACTCATTTATAAAATACCCTCTGATTAAAATATCACATTTTATAGAAATTGGTCTCAGTATTACAGGTGAAAAAAAAAACATAGTAAATACTAATGTTTTGCTAATGTATTCCAAAATCACAAATGAAACTTAAATCAGGCTACCTTCCATAGGAGGAAAAAACAATAAACAAACTCATAAAGTCTAATTTGATGTACACTTTTATTATTATATCTGATATAAAAGCACTCCTTGATTTTATTTCCTTCACAAATAGAAGATTTATGTGCCAAAATTGTTGATTTTCATACCAAGCAGCAGTCATATGAAATATAACACTGACCAAAGCAGAGTTTTACTTTCCAGAAGCATGTACATGCAAATGAAAACTTTCTGAAATTCACCCTACATAAGAGAAACATTCATAAATCTGCTGTTTCCCTTCTATGGGTGAAAGTTTGCACTTCAGCTAAAGCATGCATATGTTGCTGGCTTTCAAAGTAACAGAATTGAAATTACCAACTTAAGTAAGACCAGGAGGGTGTTCTAATAAAATCCTTTAAAAGTCAATAGAAATTATGGATTTTCAGTCAATGCTTTACACATAAATCCTAATGGCTATTAGGAGATAATCTCACACTTAAATTCAATAAAAAGGCTAACCTCATATTTATTTCAAAATAGTACTATACCACAGTTTATAAAATGAATTCTTTAACATTCCTAACTTTATTACAAGAGAATATTTGAGTAAAACTTATAACCTAAGTTATATTTCAGAGCTTAATCTGGAAATTTCAAAATTTTAAATGCTGTGTGTTGCAATAATGGATATCTTTATAAGTTTTAACTTACTCTAGTTTCCACTACTTGATAATATACTGAAAATCTTAGGTAAAACTAAAACAGGTTAGCTTTAAAGTAATATCCATTATCAGTAGACTATTCATTAGTAGCTTGAAGTTACAGGTACGTGATAGCAAAAATGAAAGCATGTTGGTTCAATCATATTTGACACTGCTGAGTTTTGTGAAACATAATCATATCCAAAGTGAAGTTTCCTTGGTAAACATTTAATAAATCCCAAAGGAATCAATATATTGGAACTAACATAAAAACATTTTTTCTTTTAAAGATTTATTTATTCATACAGAACTGGGGTAGAACAGGCCAGAGATGCGGAGGGTGAGAGGATTCACCAGAGACAGAGTGGGGAGCAGAACGGGCAGATCAACAAAGCACACTGCTGAGGGGAGCAGCGGGCAGGTCAGGAGAGGTCTGCCACGCCATGTGGATCTCCTCGAACTCATGCGGAAGTGGCTTTAGATTCTTAGTTCAGTGCTTTAATCCGCTACGCCACCAGGGAGGGCCATAAAAACATTCAAAAAAGTAATAAATTATAGATTATAAAACCTTCAATAAATAATTTAAGATGTTTGCATTTATTTAGTAAAAAGAATTTGAAGTCACTAAATGGACTCAGAACTATGATATAGGGAAAAATAAGTCATATCAAACAATATGGTTATTATGATAATTAGATCTTCTGTCTGAAATTCAGCAACATCAAACACAGATTTCACCTAAGTTAGATTTCGGTTGGTAAATTTGGCATAAATTTCATTCTTGATGACTAAATTCTACCATTACTTTGATATTCAAAATGGACTTTTTAAGTTGAAAATGCTTATATTAAAAATGATTTCATTAATTATATCAATCTTGGTAGTTTATGTTAAGCACTAAAACATAATGGCAATTATCATAGTGTAACTGAAGAAAGTGGCAAATAAAATTAAAAATGTCAATCAGATGAAAACAACATCAAAGTTTTAGGAATAAACTTGTATGTCTACACACCTAATGTATCAAATAAGAACTAAAAGGAATGTTTTATATCACATGATCTCCATTATTCTCTTTTGTACCAAGTCAATTGTGTTGAAGGTGTGGATCTCACTCAGGGACAAACAGTCCACAACCATTAAGTGGACATCTGTTAAGGAGACCCACATAGTAAGATGTGTGCTTTCTGAATTACTATATTAATATGATTTGAGGACAGACAGATAAAACTAATTTGTAATCCAATTAGGAAATACAAGTACACTAAGTTGAAAATAGACAATATTGCTATACGTCTCAACTTCATTAATTTGCTTTATTTTAAAATCTAAAAAAATATATTAAATCTTAAATATTACTTTTCTTCAACAGTTTTGAAGTCATCTATTAAATCGTTTGAGGAATGGGAGACAAACACAATACTTACTTGTGATGTTATTTCTCGAAACTGACATAAAGTGAGGGAAAAAAACATACAAAAAACAATGTAAACAAGACTAAACAATACACACATGAAATATTCTGTATTAAGAACAAATATGACATACTACATGCACTTCTATCCTGTGTTTGATTGTTTATCCTGGAGTTTTGGAATAAAAGTAGGAAAGCATAAGCTCTTTTTAAAAGTTTACCAGAGAGTTGTTAATGTTAGGCAGTTTCTTTGGGTCATTTTGAGGGGTGGGGGGTGGCTAAAGTTGCCTTTTTAAGGGTTAATACAAAATAAAAGTGGTGTATAAGAAAATGCAGCAATTGGTAGAAGCTTATGAAAAATACTATATTCATAAGAGAGTATCTGATGCGACACCAACAATCATTATTGATATTCAATATCTGTACTATTTAATATCTGTACTATTAAAATGAAGCTACCAAAATACGGGGTGAGAGAGGGGAAGCACAAACAGGAGAGTGGTCCAGTGAACTACAGTGGAGGTTTGGATGGGTTTTGGTTGTGGTGCATTGTCCAGGTGTGAAGTCTGTACCCTTCAACACACAGGGTTGGCAAACTAATGTTACCTCAGTAAATAGAATTAAATAAATAAATAAGAATATACACATTTTCCCATGTAATTCACTAAGTGTTTTTTTCAGTTAAAAAAATCTAACATTTGTTTTAAAAATTAGATTTTATAAGAAATGTTTCTATAAATTTAGTTCCAGATTGTTCTTTATATCTGATGTTACTTTGCCCATCATTCTGAGGACTTCCTTGGCCTCATTCTTATAGCTTTGTTTCCATCAAATGTATGGTTTCAACTACAGCAGTTAGTTCATTATAGAAGTAAAGTAACATTTATTTTTCCATCCTTATTTATAAATTTTGTGGTCCTATTTTATATTCATTTAATTTACTAACCTAATTTTTTTCCTACATTAGGGAGAACATAAAACTCAAATAAAATTTAGATACAGGTTAGTAATTTATAAGCATTGTACTGAAGTATCTGTACTGTAATATGAAGAATGACAAAAAATATGTTATATTTCTTTGTCAGCAATACAAATACTCAAATTATCATACCAGCAGTATATACAACATGGATCAAAGTCCCTTCACATGCAAAATAACTGACAAGAGCTTGGACTTAATCAAGGATAGAATTTACTATGTTGAAATTCAAAACGCCTATATAAGAACATAATACTCTATTGTATAGAAATTTCCTTTTACATACCAAATTCAAATAGACATAGTTACTCAGTAGGTATGAAAACACTTCTCTTAACCTTTAATTAATAGTAATAATTTTTTGGATACAATATTCTTAAAATTTTAAGCATACCTAGCCAGCCTATTTTACATATTTAAATGGACTTATATTTCTACTGTGAGTCATTCCTGATTCCTTCTACTTTGGTGTAGTTCCTTGTGGTGTGAACTACAGGATCCACAGCTAATAACGAACTGTAATTCAGGAGCAGAGAGATCAAATATAGTTCCTTTTAGTCCTCCTGAAGCTATAGTGAAGTCATCAATTAGCACCTCAGAAAACCAGAAGCATATCTCACAGTCCTATATATCACTTATTTAAATATCAAAGTACTAACTTTAACCAGAAAACAAAAATCTACTCAATTATTCTTATGTTTCTGTTTTGCTACATGGATTGAGTGATTTTACTACAAACTGATTTAACAATTACATGGACTATTAAAATTCATATAAAATGATGTGAGTCTTACAGCTGCGGTATCTTTGCATAAGAACAATACAACTAACCAGAATTTCTAATATATTTAAGTTTGCAAAGAAAAAAATTATCAAAAATATAACCCATAATTTACATGAAATTACTTCTTTAGATGCTGATAGGGTCATGTGTTTATGCAAAATGTTTATTTCACAGGACAGTCTAACTTACAAGGGATATAAAAACCATTTAAAACCCATATAATATCACTAGATCAAAATGTGGTTTTCCCAGGAATTTCAGCCATCAAGAATTCTGTTTCATATTAATGAACTCTAGTTTGTTTTTAAAATTACTGAACTATATAAAAGTCTCCCACTTTTACTGGGCTTTATGTCCTGCCTACTATTTAATCTAGAGTTTAAAAAAAATGAATTTCAGTGCTTGTTAAGTTTCTTTGTTCTCATTTCCTCCAAATGTTAATATATAACAAATAAAGAAGTTTATTAGAAAGCTTGATTGTTTGTCTTGGAACTCCTCTTATATGTGAGATTACTTATTAGAATTAGCTTACTTCCTGAAAATCCTCTGGAAATGAAAAATGCTAGATCTACAAAAGGATTTCAGAGGCCAACTAGAATAATACATTAGCCAGCAATATATGATCAAACACTGGTGTAGTTTCCTGAAACAATCAGTTGATAGGTTTTAACTTCTGCAAATGGATATTATATACTCTAACAGTATTGTTTTTAATTTTATATGGCATTTTTCAGAAGTCAGTTCCCATGATTAAGAGTAGCAGTCTTTAAGCAGCTTAAACACTAAAATATTAACACCTTGATATTTCCAAACCTCAGATGTAGCAAGTTTCTGAGATTCAGTCCTGTAGATTCCAATGGGTACATCCCCAGTAGAAGAACACAACTTCTGATAAAGTCTGGCATAAGTTCTGATCCATAGGTCATCTTCAGTGATTTTCATCTATAACACATATGAGAATTATCTACATATTAAATTTTAAGACCTAAAAACCCAATGGCTTTTTTTCTTTTCTTGAAGGCAGAATAATTAATACTTTGAAATCTCATAGAGGTATTTTATAAGAGTTTACATTTAACCTCAGTCTTATCCTTAGGATTCACCCAAACTCAAAAACAAAAACAAAAACAAAAAAACCTGTAATTTTTGGTAATATGGCCTTGCCTTAGTTAAATCCATAGGCAAGAGTTATTGATAACTGACTGGGAGATTTGAAAAATGTGGAGATTTTTTTTTTAATGTTGGAGCAACTTTAGGCTGCTACCAAATTTAGCAGTCAGGGTTGGCCAAAAGTAAATACCTTAAAATACACAGGCACTTCCAGGAAACCAAACTGTCCTATCAAAAGTTCTTATAAGACCAATACTAAGAGAGTTGTGCAACAGGCACAGGACTAACAAACAAGAGGCATAAATGCTCTCTCTTTGCTAACTGTAAGTTTAAATCGCCAATTCAAAAATACATTTGGAAATAGTATGGTCATGTATAAGACCAAGGGATTATATGATTTTTTTTTTTAAGACCTATGGCATCCTGTATCAGAAACTACTATCAGTCTCAAAATGTCAGACTGGAAAAAAACCACTCTGATATTTGTATGGAGTGACTTTTAATCATGATTGTTCATTACCATACTTTGCATTCCCTAAAATTTTTGGAGGAAAAAAAATGATGCTACTAGTATGTGTATACTCCTTCCCATCTCCCCTCCCCCACACACACTGCAGGTCTCTCTAGATATATATGACCTAGAAGAGTTAGCTGAAGTACATTAGAGACAGATATAGAACGTCCATCAGGGGGCAATCTTATATCTCAGAGTTTAACTTACAGAACAAAGAAACCCTGATCCTGGTGTAGTGTCCAATCCTAACAGAAGTCTGGTGATAGAAATCATGTAATCCTTCACAAAGGACTGCAATATAAACAAAATATGTATTTATTATGTGTACAATAGCCAGGAGTAAACAATTTGGCACTTTCAAATGGTAGTGATATCCATAGGATACTTCTAACACATACATCATTAACTTTATGAAAAAGGAAATCAGTTTTTTAAAAAGAAAAATAATAAAAGAACCTTCTACTATTATTAAAATATAAGATTTGTTGTATTTAACTTATGACATATGGAAAATAATTACTCTCTAGAATATCAATACGGTTATTTTAAAGATTTACTTATTTATTTATGAGTAAAAGAACACTGGTCAGGAGCGTGAGTGGATTCACCAGAAACAGAGTGGGGAGCAGAACAGGTGGCTTCACTGAAATACACTGCTGAGGGGGGAAGCAGGTGAGAGGAGAGGTCTGTTGGCCATATGGGGGTTAACTTCCTGGCTGGATGTCACTTAGGTGGTAGCAGGTAATAGTTCTGAGACTCAGCCTCCATTTATATGCTTTTAACACATGCATACTACTAGATGTGATAAAAGCTGAGTTGAAATAAAATAGAGAATATCAAAAACCCTTGAATGAACTAAAGTTTGCAATGTAAAATTTCTAATATTTGAAGTAAATAAAAATGTGGATAAAGTAATAGTTTATTTTTAAATTTTATCAGATATTAGCATGCTAATAAATCAGATATATTTTGTTATGTACTAAACCATGTGACTCAATAGTTAACAATATTTCCAATTTTTTCTGCTTATTTTTAATTCTGAGTGAAAAAATTTCACTTGATACAAGCAAATTTCACCATGACAAGTAATAATTACTTGATAAATTTTATGAAATGACTGCTTGAATTTGATCTTCAAGTGTTAAAAAGTTTAAAATTAATTGTTTTGCATTGCAAAGACTTTTACAGTATCTTTCATATAAATCCACTGTATTTGTTAGTTGCTCCTTGAGCTTACCACTAGGGTCAGAAAACAAAACCCTGCTATCTAAAGAAGAACATAAGCAAACACACCAGTCCTCATTTTTCAAGCCAAAGAAATGTCATTTTAAATTTCAAGGTATTTGAAGTAGAAGTTAACATGGGATTATTCGGGGGGCCCCAAACTGAGTTGTGACATGTTTCTAGAGTTTAGAAATTATAGACTTCATTCGTAGCTCAGTGTGTGCTAAAGAAGAATTTTACAAAAGATTTCAGACACTAAAAAATACTATTTTTCATAATGTATAGTGGAAAGTACTCATGGAAAGGAAAAACCGAAGATTTGCCAGAGAACTATTTTAAATTACTTTGGAGCCAGATGTGGTAACACAACTCATTTAGTGTTGTCACTAATAAATTTCTTGTCCTGAAAACATTTGTCTTGTAACTTCACCATCTTTGTAACTCCTTTGTAAGTCTTTTTGTAACGGTGCGCCAAAAAAAGATGTGGGCAACCCCACCTGGTACCACATAATCCACACATCAAATCTCAGACAATTTAATCATAGAAGACTCATTTTCAGTTTCATATAGTAGCTTTTTAATTTTGTTTTAGAGGATTCCTGTTTGTTTAATAACTTGTTTTCAAATTCTACAAAGATGAGAATAGAAATAAGTCAAAATACGAGTAAGCTGTGTTTCCAGTGGGAAGCAAAAAGTGACTATGGAGAAGATGTAACTGAAAGAATCTTGTAGTAAATTAAACAAAAGGTACCATAAGAAATTAAACTATTATGTAAATAGTTTAATACCACAGAGATAGGGGTGGTTGCATCTGATGGGTGCTGTAGCCTGTGTATTCTCACTGGGTGATTTGTCTTGTGGGGAACTAGTGACCTCATCTGTAGTCAGTGGTTGATAATATTGACTGTCTCACAGTTTTCTTTGGGGAGGCAAGTCAAATTATATCTAGTGATAGAGTTATATTAACAGTCAGTCTCTATGCAACTCTAGTTTAATAATCGTTCTTAAATACATAAGAGGAAGGGCTAAAACACCAATCACATTAGTTATTATTTAGTATATTTAAGAATAAAAGAATGCTTATTATATAATTTCAAGATACATATATACACACATATGTAATGTTTTACATTTCTAATATTTTCTTACCCATAAATGAGCAGTCTTCACCTATCTGAAAAATGTACTTGAAAGTATCTCAGTTGATGACCGGGTAAGGTATCTAAACTGATGGCTACTTTGGAAACTAATGTTGCTGCAGTCACTCCAGAAAACATTATTCTCTGCATCTTTGTTTATAACAAAACCATTGGCAAAAATGAAGAGGAAGAAATAAGTATTGCTAAAAAAAAAAAAATGAAATGGAAAAAGGAAAAAAGAGAAATTTTCTATTTCTACAAATGCTTTTCCTTTTACTTATATATTAATCTTCCTCATGAGCATACTTAATCATAAAGAACTATGGCTATAGTATAAAAATAGAGTAGTATAAAGTATAGTATAGTATACTGTTCAGGATAAAAACCTGAAATATACTGGTGCAATAATGACACCAAGTATTTGACACTAGTGATGGACCTTGATCAGTTTCAAGACTGTTCTTCAAACAGGACTTCTGCTCCATTTTCCATTAAGAGACTGGAAGTACACGTGTGTGGGGGTGAGGTGTGTCCTTCCTCCATCAGGAATGGACTTTGTGACCAGAGAATGTTTCTGGTAACTTCAGTGGGAGCTGCATGTTTATTCTTCACTGTGTTTGTTCCTGCTCATCTGGCAAACGCAGATGTTTCTGACATTGCTGGAGGCATACTCGTGGGCTTAATTAGCCCAAAGGCCAGTAGAAAAGCTTAAACACTTTTTGGATTAGTTTATTCAGTCAAGCATGGTAGAAGAGGGAACATAAAATATGGAATCTGAAAGGGAAAAGGTACACAAAATGCTTTAAAATCATCAAATGAAAGTTCTGCAGATATCATTTTTGGCTTTGGTGGTAATCTTTAGAAATGATGTGATTACTTTAACCGGTGATATGAAATATTATGGTCATTCAGTTTTTGCAGTTTATTTCTTTCACTGTCACTCCCAGAGGTTTTGGCTTTAAACTGTTTGAAGATTGAAATACATTTGTGTGAAATAACTCCAAGAATTCTCAGCTAACAATGTTAACTTACACACATTATTTGGCACAAATTTTTGTTGCAAATATGTAATATATATATATTTTACAGTATGCTATAATTAGCGGAGTCTTAAGACATCACTGGTTTATCAGTTTACTATCATCAACTGCGTATCTTCTTTCAAACCTGGAAAAAATTCATAATTATTTTGATATGCTGTTTTTTTTAGCTTGTATTAAGTCTAGTAATATCTGAAAAAGGTAATTAAATGTCATAGTTAACATAGGAAGAAACTGAATGTTTAAAATCTAGCTCACAGATTATTCTGAAAAATGTTTTCCTTACAAAACATTTTGTAGGCACATTTAGGTCATTAAATGTATGAATTAAAATACTTAATTACCTTTAAAGGCACTTTAACAAGTCCATGAAAAACACTAAGTAAGACATTAATTTAATAACATCCAAATGCAATATAAACAGCTTACAAAAACAAGAAGCACGGCATACCTGATACAGAAGCGTGTCCAACATGCTGATGCTAAACACCCGCCCAGCAGCAAAAGGCAGTCGAAACATGAAGGCCAAATTGGAACCTCTCTCTCGTTCTTTCTGTTCAGAAATTTGAGAGGGAAACATTTGATGAGCATTCTATATTTTGAAATTATCTATTTAAACATATTTTTCCTGATGTATGTGATATTTTCATTCTGCTTTTTAATTTATAAGTATGTGTCATTATTTACCATTAAATTTAAAAGTTCTGTTGCCACTATCTCCCTTTCATAAATGAAAGGATGAAAAAGAAATGCTTGTTTAAGCTTAGATGAAATTCTTTTTCATTTTTTTTGAAATTATATAGCATTATAACTTTGTAGATTTCAGGTGTGCATTATAAGTCCACTTTTGTACATAATGCATTATCTTCCCCACTAAAGTACAGTTCCATTCTTCACTATGCAGTTGCCTTTTTACTCTATTTACCATCCCTTTTCCAAACTTAAAAGGAATTTCTTATCATAAAGTTAACCTTATACTTAAATGAAAACCTCAAAAATGCTGATTTCTTTTGTTGCCAATAGGAGAAAGATCCAGCAAACTGAAAAATGATCTGCTCTCACTCTTCCAGGCAATGAGAGTAAACTATTATAAAAGCAGTAATTTTGGGGTTTCTCAAGGGAAGCAAAGCATTCCATTGCCCTATTTTAAGAATGGGTAGGATTATTCAAGGGGTGAGGCTCAATGAAGAATGAGGCTTGATGAATGAGGGACGAGGAATGACTGTATTGCTGGCTGACAGGATGGTATGAGAAACAGATGAGACTAGGGCTCAGCAAACAAGAAACAAGAAAAGTGACTCCACCGTCCTCGCCATATCTATCAGGCTGAAAAGGCTTTCCAGACTAACAAATAGCCTCACTTGAGATCTAGTGAGAAAGTAAAGAAAAGGCAGGTAAGTGTTACTTACCCCAGTTTTGGTCTATGAACATTATATCATAATACATTTTGTAATTTACTTGCTTAGGTAGCAAGTCTGTAAGTCCTCTAACATATTCCTTAATTGTTTTGTCTGGGTGGTTTGGGGATGATTGTTTTGTCTGGGTGGTTTGTATGCCTAGTTGGTTTAAGTTATATATAATGATAGCATTAAGGATAGACACCTTCAAGGAACTCTTCTATAATATCTATCATAGGGGAAATTATTTAAGATTAAGTCACAAATAGGTGTTCATTTCCCTGGCATAACAAATTCAGTTCCATCAAACTGTTCCTATTGCAGACACCAGGTGAAAGTCCCCCATGTCCCTAGGCCAACAGTACTTCTGTCCATCTAGTTACAAATCTGGGGCTTCCCAGAAACCCCTTCAGGTCTGGTAATTTGCTAGAATTATCACAGAACTCACTAAAATATTATACTCCTCAATAATTGTCATTTAGTTTTCAGGATACAAATGATTAGCACCTGGCAAGTCTGGAGGCTTCTGAGTATGGGCCCTGCCCTCAGGGATCAGGATGTGCAGCATTACTGGTCCTTCAGTATTTCTGCCAACAAGGAAGCTCTCAAAACCTTGTTGGGTAGATATGTAGATAGATATGATCAAATAAATCACTAAGTACAAGATTAAATTCAATATCCAGTCCTCTCTACTCCTTAAATCATGTAAACACTTTCTCTGGTGACAAGAGCAGCTTCATCCTGAAGCTGTTAAGGTCAGTCTCCTCCATGAGTTGCTTGCTAGTATAAAATCAGGCTTGGTTGAAAAGTATGAGAAAGACTAGATACTCCTGTAATTCAGGAAATTCTAAAGGTTTTTGAAGCTCTGTGGCAGGACAAAGACTAGGGAAATATTATACCACACTATTCATCTCACATTTTCATTACTTTGCTTCTCACATCAGTGTATAATTACCATATGATTGCTAAAGTCTAATTATGATCATCACTGGAGAGTGGTGATAGTTCAAAGGAAATTTAAGGGGTATATTCTTGATATTCTCGAAGAAAACTATGCCATAAGCATGAATAAGATTTTTTTAATGACATGCATCAAAACGGGAGAAACGATGTAAGTCATTAGAGAGAGCTGAAATGAGAATTTCACTTTTTTTATTGTTTTGCTGTTCCCTTTCATTGTTCTTTGTTCCCTTTCATTGTTACCTCTCATCTACTCTTCATTTCTGCTTAGTTTTTCTGCTGCGTTTCTATTGCCTGCTATGTTTTTCATTAGAAGTGTCAATGGCCAATAGGACTAATGACTGCACATAAAGTATATTAAAGGAAAGAGTGATGGGAATATTCAAGAAGCAATATATAAAAAAGCAACAAAAGTGGACAACACAAAGGAAAAGGCCAGAGAAAATGACAGTTATGATGCTCAGGAAATATACTGACAGACTTCCAAATTGGAAGGATGTAAATGCCACTTATCACACGTGAGAGGGAACCTTGACTGTCCATATAAGCCAGTTCCTTTTAGGCACATGACTGAACACCACTTCCCAGTCTCCCAGAAGTTAGGTGTGGCCATATGATTGAGTTCAGCCAAGGCTAAAGAATTACTGTCATGTACAACTGCCAGACGTGTTCCATAAAATCTTCCATGTTTAATATGGCTGGGTATACTGTCATCTGCTGTGTTTTGTTAGACATTACAAGATAGCTACTCAGGTAAGAACTAGTTTCAATAGTTTTGCAGGAAGTAGAAAGCTCAAAGATTAGAAGTCTTCAGATTTACAAAGAATCTGTTTCCCTATGCCAACAGAACACATTTGTGTTGGTGACATCTGGGAAACTCACTTTCAACAAAATGTACAACTGCAAAGCCCTGTGTAAATATAAATTTCTTGACATAGGAAATCATTTGTTGTATTATGGATATAACTGATATTATAAGCAATGACACATTCCCACTGTATTTAACTGTCATAAAACATGCCATCAATTAATGATGGCATCATTAATATCCATCATGAATATAAATAGTTCAAACATACTACTTCACATTTTTGAAATGATAAAATAAAATTTTGGCACAAAAATAGCTCAAAAAGCATTTTATGTTAAATATCTTATGGCTTTTTCTTCTATTCTATAAAGAGAAATTTTCTAGTTATTCTTTTTTACCAACACAATAAAATCCAACTTATTTAATAATGTGGATTCTTACCTTTTCCAGTTTTGATAGGGCAAGAGAGTAACAGTCTTTGGCTCTGAATTGCATGAACCTCATGTTGGCTGGGTGTGTAAGCTCAGTGATAATACTGAGACTGGAAAATAACCTACATTTAAAATATTTACATTACATTAACAACCCAATATGTATTCTTTATAGCAACATATTTATGAATGAATGATTCCTTATTTTTAGGCATGAATCGACATGCAATTGCAAAAGCAGGAAGTATCACATAAAATGTTCTATAATGTTAGAAAAATTACACAGTTAAAAAAATTAACCAACATTTTAGCACAATAAGAAAAATAGACAAAAATATTTGGCTTCTATTAGATACTTTCTTCCTGCATAGAAGAGAAACTCATAAAGCTGATTTAAGAATTTAGAATACTGCTTTATAGAAGATATTGAAATGAAAATTCCTATGAATAACAAGCTGATTGGCAAAAATTTTGCATGATGAGCTTATTGTCCATAATAGAAGCTCTTTGATATCTATGGCTCCCTATTTTCATAGTGTGGAGTTTAAATGTCAAATTTTGCCATAATGAATTTCTCCGAGGTGGCAATATTTTAATTGAAATAGCATTTCATTGTAATGAATTCAGACCAAGGTTCAATCAATAATGTTCTAAAAGGATACTGAGAATTTCTACATATTGAAACATTGCATTAGATTTTCCTATTCACCCCATATGCCAAAAAAAAAAAAAAAAGCAGATGTGTACATGATTTTTTTTCTAATGCCTGACATCTATGTATTCTGGGTAGCTTTGGGTTAGAATATTTTAAGATTTCCCATGGTAACCACTTCATGTGATAATCAGCTTTGTTCCCCCGACAATAACTGTTTTAACTCAGCCCCGGCTACAAAACTTTCCTACCACCATGTTGAACTCAAGACTAGAACTAATTGAAAATATACAGGATAAAAGTTTGTTAGTGAAGAATGAGGGGCACCCCAGGATCCCCAAAACTGCCTGCTCTGAATGGGTTCTGTCATTTACCACATCAAGACAAAACATATTCTTAGTGTATAAGACCTTCAGTAGAAAAGAACTTCAATACAATTAGTGTACAACAGAGAGAAAAAGAAAGAATATAGTTAAAAGTGTTTCCCCATAAAACACCCAAAGTTCCCCATCCCCTCATGGGTAACCCTGACAAACAGGGTTGGCCTGAAGTGAAGCCACTGAGGCTCAGCTTACCAGAAGTCTAGGCCACCCTCTGGGAAAGGGCCACTATAGGAAAATCTGGAAGGAAAAGAGCCATATCAAAATGCAAGTAGAGATAGATGAGGGCTGCCATTGTCAGGTCTCCCATCCATGTATGTTTCAAGTGTCTCCTTGCATGTCCACCTATGTCCCCGGTAAAAGGTCAAGGCTAAGAAGCAAAACATGGCCTCTTCACATGTCCTTTTACTCCAGCAGCCTCCTCCAGGTTCTCTTCTTTTCCCAGTTTTTTCTAGTTTCTCCTCAGTCCTCAGCTCCACCCCTTCTTGGGTGGGGCAGGGAACCTGTAATCTGCCCTTTCTATAGATATCACACGTGTAAACTGCCAGTTAGTAACCATAACACAGCATGTCTAGCTGATCATATTCTTTTTTTATTGTATACAAATATATTTATTTTTAAAGATAGACTTTATACATGAGGGATCTGCTGATTCTATACTTCATATTTCAAGCTTCATTATTGACTGCATTTATTACTTCTTATGCTTCTATTTATGATGAGCTGACAACCCATTTAAGAAACTATAACCATGGTCAGTTTTTAAAAAATAATATAATAGTTTATTTTTACATCATTTTATGTACTTTTTCATCTCAGTTGTAATCCCCATGGGCTTCCCATCACCAAATCACCCATGTGCCATCACCATAGTCCAGTGCATTTCCCTCCCCCCACTGTTTTTGATCCCTTTCCCCACTCCACTCCCATAAAATGTCTCTGGTATATAGCTGTTCATAATTATTATTATTTTCTTGCCTGGTCTGTTATACTCCTGCTATGAGTGAAGCCATCCAGTATTTTTCATTTTCTTTCTGATCTATTTCACTAAGCGATCTATTCTTTTTATGAGTATTAGTAGTTAGGGCACTGGTCTTCTACATACTCTAGTGCCATTTTGGTTCTTTCTAGAAGAACACACCTCCTTTAAAGTGCCCTAATCTGAACTTTAGCACTCTAGATGAGTGGGCCTTTGCCAGAACTGCTCCCTTCTCTTAGGGAAAAGATCCCTGCTTAGGAGGCAGGAGCCTAAAGATGTTTACTTAGTAGCGCCCCAGTCTGTGGCCAGGTCTTTCCGGACCTCTCAGGTCTATCTTCACTGGGTTTTGGCTACCATCGCAGTTAAGACTAAAAATTCTTTAAAGTAATTTTTCAGCCTATAATTCAATTATCTATGAAAATTGTATGTACTCTTAATTTTCTTAATTGACTAATACTACACTTTTATTTGATCAAAGCTTTGAAAATCATATCATGTTTTTGTAAATTCCACTCTTACCCCTTTCTGCCTGTCTTGTCATGTCTCCCCATCTCTGTCTCTGATGGCCTACAAACGAGTATAAATATTTCTGGCTGGCTTTACTATCCTTAAAAATGCACAAACAGGCCCTCCCTGGTGGCGCAATGGGTTAAAGCACAGCACTGAGAAGCTAAAGCCACTTCCACATGAGTTTGATTCCCCCCTGCCCCGGAGGTGACCACATGGCGTGGCAGACCTCTCCTGACCTGCCCGCTGCTCCCCTCAGCAGTGTACTTCGTCAATCTGCCTGTTCTGCTTCCCACTCTGTCTCTGGTGAAGCCTCTTACCGCCCCTGAGCCTCTGGCCTGTACCCCAGTTCTGTACGAACAAATAAATACATCTTAAAAAAAATGCATAAACATGTAAAAAAATTTTTCCCTTTGCTACCCAAAAGATGCTATTTTGATTACTTTTATAGCCTAAGAAGAGCACCAAAGGATTCAGGGATATTTCTTTTGTGCCTCAATAGGTTGATTAAAGACACGCTACAGCTCAGATTCCGTAAAGGAGTGGCGTTGTGAATTATGTGGAAATGCTTTGTGAAACACCACAATGACATACAGAAGTCACTGTTTCTTAATCGTGGTTTATTATTTCTTTAGCTTTTTTCTCTTTTCCCATCTTCTTACTTGTACTTGAATTGAGTTCTTATATCTCTACTACTTTTCTCCTTTAATTTGAAAGGCCAGCCATTATTTAAAGTTTCTCTCAAATTGAATTGAGATGAAGTTTTAAAATTGCTCAAGTTGGAATCATTCTTGCCACACTGGCTCCCCAGCATGGGACTTGAACCATTTATTACACCAAGGGATGAACCAAGACGCTGCTTAGTTTTATCCTTGACTCTATTCCATTAATACATCATTACAGCTAGAAAATCAGTTGCCCTTTAAAGGCTCAGTGCTCCTCATATTCCTTTAATTAATAATTCTGTATTACAGAATTAATAACTCTGTAATAACGTCTCAATTGTTTGTGTTTTTACTTAGGAGACAGATCTCAATGAAGGAATGGCAAGTTAACAAGATTATTTTATAGAAATAACACTACTTAATTTGTACCTATCACCTTCTTTTAACTTTTTTCCCTGTTATAATTTCCTAGGAAACTTTTAAAATTATATATATGTATATGTGTATATATATATATATTTCATCATTTTTGTACAATGTATGCTTCTGCCTCTCAGGTGTAGGCTCCATGAAATTCCCACCATCAATCAAGGTCCCTTGCTGTCACCTTCTTTTAGATGTTCTATTTTTTTTGCTCAAAAGTCACTAAGGAGAGCATTTTTTATAAATTAAAGTTCATTATTTCAGAACTTTTGAAAAATTAGAATGGTCTGATAGAAAAGTATCAATTGATTTTGCAGCTGGCACCAAAGCGCCAAGTGCAGGAAATGCCACCTACTGCCAAATTTCACATCATCTGTTAATTTGAGAATATTTTTTTAAATAAGTATTTCTAAATAACATGTCACTAGATATATTTACCTTCATATGAGTACTGCTACAGATATTATTTTATAAGCTGTGATGACAGAGATATTATTTTATAAGATGTGATAAGTGAGATGAGAGCTTTAATGGTACCAAGATGGGTCAATGAACATAAGACTCTAAAGAAATATTTAGACAATGTAGCCTATATTCATACTCTGAGCATCTAAAAAGAAAAATTAATAGACTTGGAGTTTCATATTTGTCTTTTTTCTTTCTTCACTTTTAGAAGGGTTAAAAAACATCCAAAAAGAGTATCTAAAACATAAAGAGTTAGGAATTCTCCATGCATTAACTCAAATCTTCACAGCATGAGGTAGGGGCCTTCTCATCTTAGATTCTTATCTCCATTCTCTCTTCCCCTTAGGGGAGTTGGGGGAATATGCTTCAAACTTGATTCTATTTTTTTTCTTTATTTCAGGCCTTCTGTTGCATTGTACCACGCTGTGAGGTAAGTTCAGGTATATAGGGAAAGTCTGTGTTTGTCAAGCATGACACTCAACATGGAATAAGTTTAAGACACCCACAGCTGACAGACACCAGAGTCTTGTGGTACTGCATGACACTGGATCTCTATCTGCCATCCTCTTTCAATCTCAGTAGTTTCCATCTTGTACAAGAAGTTAAAAGAGTTACTTGTTATCGCTTCAAATTCAAGAAAACTATTCTATGATTTTCCTCCAATTATGAGTTTACAGACGAGAAAACCCAAACACAGAACAACTGAATAACATTTGACTAACTTAAGGTAATATTCTAGTATGTACTAGAGTCTGGGCCACATATGTAATCAGGCTAGAGGACCACATGTTCCCCCCTACCACTTGAGTAAGTAGGTAGGTAATCACTGGAAAGGGAACCCAAATGATCTAAATAAAAAAAATAATAAATTATTAAGATTACCTAGCAACATGTTGGAGTTTCACACATTAAAAGTCAATGCTGTTTTACCACAAGCTGTAAAATTTCTGCTATCTTATCTAACAGGTTAGGACTCATGTATTTTTTTTTTTTAACATTTATTTACTTATGCACACTGGAGTGTAGGCCAGAGATGGGATGGGGGGTGAACGGATTCACCAGAGACAGAGTGGGGAACAGAACAGGCAGACTGAAATATACTGCTAAGGGGAGCAGCAGGAGGGACAGGAAAGTTCTCCTGAGCCATGTGGGTCAGCTCCCTAGCCAGGGATGGAATTGGTGCTTCACTGGCTTCAGAGCTGCACAGGGGAGGGCCCAGGGGTCATATGCTTTTGATAAACACAATTGGCCCAAACCCATTCTCTCATCTGTAAATTCCTGCCCCTTTGTTAAGCAAAAGTTGTCAAAACCCATTCAGTATCTCATCTATGAGCTCCTGCCCCTCAAACTAAGCAAGTGTTTTTATCAGCAGCATTAGGGCCCAAGGTGTGACTCCTCTCCATCTGCCCACTCACTCTCCAGTGAGCCTTCTCACAATAAAGCTTCATTTCTAACTCCCTTACTGACTTCCCCATGATTTCTTCCCTGTGTAGAAGTCAGTTTGTATTAGGATCACTCAGCACCACTAGGCCCCAATGTGTGATACATATCAGATATCCCTTACATTTAAAACTTCATCTCTATTGAAAAGAAACAGAATATACTGCTCTAGAATATGCCTTGTGAACATGGGATTCTTTTGAACTAGTCATTTTTTTTTTCTGGTAGAACTAGTCATTTTTTAAGAAACATTAAATGTAGAAAAAAAATCTGAACACTGAGAACTCACCCTTTTGCAAGAGACATTCCTATTTACCAGAAAATCTCCACTTGTATCTCCCTCTCTCTATCAGGACATACAGACTGACCAATTTCTAGAAACTCATCGATGGAAATGGCAAGGAATAAAATCTGTTTAACAATCTTACCCTTATTTATGTGCTTTTCCTTATAGCCCTCCATAACTGCTACCCCAGCCCCTAACAATTGCTTTTGTCTTTCACTGGAGATGCCACTTCAAGTCATGACTTGGGCCATTTTGTGGAGTTGCTCAGTTTTCCTGGGTATTTCCCACCTAAATATAGGAGGAACATGTTATTAAATTTCTATTTTCTCCTGTAATTTCTTTTTATAAGATTTTATTTATTTTTATGTAGGGGAGCATTGGGCAAAACAGGAGAGGTCTGCTGCACCACTAGGGTTAGCTCCTGGGTGGGGGATGGAGCTCAGGCCAGCTGTTCAGACCAGTTATACTGGATCCTGGTGGGCCTTTGGGGTATATAGCCCTGAGACTTAACCCCCATCAGGGAGGTCCATGTTTTTTGTTCTTGTTTTTTTTTTTTTAAATTACAAAGGTGTCTGTCAAGAAACTCAAAGGGTAGGTGGAAAATTATTTTGACATTTTTATAATGTAAAACTAAAAATAATGTATAATGTAAAATAAGAAAATGTTAAATATTTTTGTATTATATAAGAGGAGCTGTTCTCATACTTAAACATATGCAGGATCGGTATTTTTAGTTATGTCATCTTACATGTGCACATGTATCATGCTTGTTTCATTACCAGCTAGGTAACAGGTGATTTCCTTTGTGCATCAATAGTACTATTTAGTATAGATTGTTACTTAGCTATATTCGAATGAACTGCCACTAATTTTAGAGGGTATATTTCTCCTTATGGAACAAGAGGTTCTTACGCAAGTTCAGGGCAGGCTGTCCAGAAGCTATGACAGATTATTTATACCTCTGATTTCCAGTCTTTACATGAATATTGCAAGAAAGTTTAATTATTTTCCACATGCATTTGATAGGTGAGAGAAACTGGTTTCAAAGAGGCTAAGAAACACACTTAAGATCACAGAATTAGTGTCTGCTGGAACCTCTGGGATGGTTGTGCTACGTGAAATTTGTTGCTATAGCATATTGTTTCAAGGTATGTCACATATGTATTTAGTGCAAGCTACCAGGAATGTAGCTTTCCTTACCATTATATATCTTAAAATCATGAACATGTCACAGACACACCTCTATAAAAGGGAGATGCCAATTGCCTTCCCCCACTTACTTCCTAAGCATACTGCCTGAGCAGAGTAGTTACTGGGAAATAGGGGTGGAGGTGAAGCTGTATCACACAGGAGACAGCTGAACTCTGGAGGTTCTTGCTTTCCTGTTTGTGACTTGCACCCAGGGACTCTCAGAGTCAAATGGGGGAGAGGCATGTAGGATAACTTGAGACCAGTGGTTGCAAGACACATGGGGAGACTCCTTGGCAGAGACAATGGAGAACATTATCCTAATTTGTATCACTGTCCTAAAATTATCTAGCCCCTTAACTCCTTTTTGTGATTTCTTGCCAGAAGATACCTCAGATTTGTGGCAAGTTTTATGCTTTTAAGTCCCCATTTAGGCCCAATTATGTCTGGCTGGGTATTTGCCCAAGAGGGGATGGATAATTTTAAGGGTTTTGTTGGGAAACTGTTACCAGGAATATAATTTGTTTTCTTCCTCTTTCTATGTACAGTAAATCTACTAAAGAACTTTTGGACCAAAAGTCTGCCTCCTTTGTCTCTGTACTGTGCATGGCAGAATCCCTTTTACAGCACCCACCTTTTTTCTTTGGAGCTCCTGGGGGCCCCTCAGTCGTATGTTAACAAAATGATTAAGACATTGATGTTTAGAGAAGGAAAGTAATTTGCCTTAATCATAGTCAACTTATGTGGGACTCATGTAGCTCTCTCTTCTGAATTCTGAACTCAAATTATAAGTAGATAATAGCCTTCAATATAAACCTTACTACAAAATGATGGTAAGAAAATAGAGGGGAGATGAGAACAGAACCCATTCTTATATTTACTTCCCTTTTTTTGAGGCTCAGAACCTTCAAGCTGTTTTAGGCATCAGCAAAACTAAAGCAAAAACAAAACTCCAAAAACCTAAAAACACAATCTTTTAGATATTTAAATTTTACAATAATTTTAGGAGTAATCTTTCCAAATTACATGGATGTGATTTATAGATAACTTTGACTTTGCTCACAGCATGCAGTTTGTGCCGGTCATGATTGCTTACTCTTACCTGAAGAAGAACGTAAAAAGAATTCCTATCTGGATGAATTTAATTAACAAAAATTAAGAAAAGAGTGAGCGAGGCTAAGGTTATGTGCTCCAATGTGCTCCAAACATGGGTAAATTACAGCCTTGTAATTGCTATATCCTAGTTACCCAGTTTATAAAAGTAAAACTTTGGTCACTATTAGGCACAACAATCAAAATTAGAAACTCCTTGTCTGTAACAAATCACATCTGCTACTGTACATGATTTAAAACAAATCTATAGTTAAATTAGACAAGCAAATATTTATTCTATTAATTTTTCAGAGCATATGATCTATTATTAGCAATTTGACTCCCTATAGTGCAAGTCACATGTTAGGTACTCAGTAATGATCACAGGATTAAATAAACAAACATAAACTGTAGGACCCTCACACACAGTCAGACTCAAACATCCCACAGATGTTAGGCATTACGTAAACTACTAGACTGGCCTATTCTGATACTTACCTGAAAAGCGTCTGCACGTTCACAATCGTCTTGGCGTCGGCCATGTAGTCTTCCTCTGCACTCATGGTGCTCTCTTTGTCCACAACCACCATGTTGGCAGCGAAGGTCACGCCACACCTGAGTAAATCATCTAGGCTTTGATAAAAATCAACAGAGAAAACATGGAATTTCAATACATCTGTGTAAGGATCAGTGTCCAACTCATTTAACCCCTGCATCTGTATCGGCTGTCTTACAGGTGGCTCTCACAGTGTGCACCAGCAGATGTTCATGGGAATCACAATACAGTATTCTGTACTGATATGAAATATGTGTTTTGGGGATCTTCATGTTTCATTAGAACTCAACTGTACAGAGGATATGCATTAAGAATTTTAAATAATAATTATGAATAATATAACAATTGGAGCACATCCATTGTGAAATCAAATTCAAGTAGAATATGTTGGACTTTTGTCATTTTTTTCAACTAACACACTATTTCAAAGACACTTTTTTTTTTATCCCTATGGAGCTTTTGGTAAGAGTAGCAATGAATATATGAATATTATTGTGGTAATTTAGATAGGCAAGCCTAATATATAAACTACGAAATATTTATTTTTAAATGTGTATTATTTTTTGGTATAAGAGCTACTTGTATAGATTAGTTCTACACAGGTAAAAGCATTTACAAAAAAATGAAGAGTAGTTGTTTTCAAGCCTACTGTTCATTTAGACAGCCTTTAGTTTTTGAGCAAGTGACTGGGTAACCTGATTTCTTTGGCTATATAAATTAACTGATCAGTGAGGATACAAATGCCTACAAGTTGTGATTTAGTCAGACTTCTCCCCTATCACTGATAAAGACTTTGCCTCTCATTGAATTAAATTAAATTCTCTCATTGGACTAAAAGAAAATGTTCGTGAAAGCTGAAACAGAGAAGACATTCTCACTGTCTCTACTAAATTTAAACTAGAAAAATAGGGCTGAATTTGATAAGGGACACTAAATATGAACAAGAATGTTTTAGGTAGAGCTGACTGAAGACAGGATTTGGGCTATTTGATCTCAACATCTTCTGGTTTAAAATTGGAAGTGTAAAACCTAAAGAACAGCTGTTCCTTTTATATCCTTAAATTGAAGACGCCATTTCCCTGAGGATCTTTTCCAAGTGTATGACTGGTTCAATTAGCCAGGTCATGTTAGGGGGATCTATTTTCCTTTTGTGGGAAGGCAGGAGGCAGGATTTCTTACTCTGTTATAAGGCGAGAGAGTATTACCAAAGCTTTGAGTCCAAGATCCCCAGGAGTAGTCCAGAAAAAATATTTCGCTTGAATCAGGAACAATGTTCTGTGGCAGAGATTTTATGGCTAAAACTGTGGAAACAGAATGTTATTCCAAATAAATTTCCTATGGTGAGAGGGGCCAGGACCATAATATCTAACCAATATGGTGACCAGTTTAAATCCCTAAAATACTTGAGTGTTCCTTTTATCTAGGAAATTCCATCATAATTGTTCTTACATTGCTTAAAATACATCTAAAAAGGCATAAGGTAGGTAGAAAACGAATGTGATATGGTCCATAAAAATTAAGCCTTAAAAATGTCTTCAACCCACCTAATTATAATTTTAACAGTCTCATCTTTCAGTCTTACAATCTTTTTTTCCCCCATTTAAAAAATATTACACTTATCTATGCAGGAAAATGAAAAGATAAGGCGGTAGAAGGTAAGCTTTATGGAAAAAGATACAGAAGTAAATGATAGGAAAGGTAAGTTTTTCATCATCAATAAACCAATGAAGTTGACGGTAATAACTGACAAAATTTTTATTGAGGCTACCTATGCTAAATACCTTAACAGTTCCCTATAGCTATATGCATCAATTAATCCTATATTAAATATGTGCTGTTGTAATTGACACATAACCTTGAAAAATAATTTTTAAAATTATTATTAAATGAGTATATATTGATAGAAAAAACAAAATTGGAATGACATTTCTAAACCATGTAGAAAAATGTGAAACATGTATTTTAAATTTGAATTATTCTTTTTATATTTAATGTTATATTTTATTATTGTTCTTTTTTTATTTAATTACTAATTTATTCTTATAATTGTCTGTCATAATTTCTTCCCCTGATCCTATCTACAAACCTTTGCCATTGGGACTGATTCCCCAAATACAACTTGGCAGTTGATGTCTGGGTGAATAGTACTTGCTGTCTTTTATGCATTTTATGATTGCAGGTCTTATGTTATTTGAAAATTATAGTGGTTACCATGAGGACTGAGAGGAGAAGAGACAGGAGGGAAAGTGACAGGTTATTGGGCTAGCACCTGGTGGAGCACAAGCACATACTGGAGTGGGAAGTTCTATTTCCAACAATATAGCTAATGATGGATATAGTAAATAAATTATTTTATAAAAAAACCCAAAATTATATACTATGCAATCAATTGATTGGAAAATTAAGAACATTTGAGAGGAAACAAAACAAATTAAAAAACCAAGAAACCCAAAGCCAGGCCTTCCCCCCCACCCTCCAAAAAAAAAAAAAAGAATGGTGTTTTATACAGTTTAGCCACCAGATGGTAGCCTAAGAAAAAAAATCATAAGTATTTAAAAAAATTTCAGACAATCTTATTAGCAAAACCTCACTTTTTACACTTGGATTTTCTTTCCCCAGGACATCTAGGATGTGAAGGTATGGTTTTTATGTATGTTTTAATTCAGTCAGATGCTTTATTTTATACTGCTTTTAAGGGCGATTTCGAACACAAGCAAAACAGAACAGGTTTTACTAACACCCAGTTTCATTAATTATTATCTCTAATACCAGGAATTTGATCCTCTCTCTTGTTTTCCTCAAATAGATACTTTTACAGAGGAAGAATTCATTTTGTAGTTTATATCAGAACATGCAGGAGGAATATTTATTTTCTTTCTTTTAAATATACTGTTTTTCTAATGAATTTTAATAGAATAGATCAAAGTAGCACTACTAGTGATTAAACTATGGGTTAATTTTACTTTCATAGATTTAGAAACAACTTTAGTTCATCTAATTACATTTAGTTAGTTGGTTAGTATTTCTGACAAATGACAACATGAATCATATTAGCATAGAGCAGAGGCTAAATATGTTAGTCTGTTTAACTTTAATGTGTCCAATCTATATTTAATAAATATGTTCAAAGTTACAAAACTGTTATTTTCAACATCAACAGGATGATGTTCACATACTTCAGTATTTTATTTTGAAATCTCTGGCTGACATTTTTTAAAATGCAAAATGTGTACATAAAAAGCATGGCAGTTTTATGATCTTTTAGTTTCTAATTTTTAATAATATGTTGGTGCACATTAAGATAATTTATATTTTAAAACTAATGCACTGCACACTTTAGACCTGAAATTAATATTTTATAAAGCATAATCTCCAATATGTTGCTGGAAATAAAGGAAGTGTTCTAATACATAAATCTGACTACAATGAGCATTTCTAAATTATTTTGAAGATTTCTGTAAGTTATGACAATGCTATCAATGAATTTCAATGTTGAACTTTTAGATTTCCTTTACCACTGTGTCGGTAGTAATAATGCTATTACTGAAGACAACACAAAGCTGAAATAGCTTTAGAAACTTAACAAAATTGACAAACATAGGCATGCAGCAAGATAGGTACTGACTTAATAATACATAACTTCTTAGAACTTTGAATATAAGATATATAACACAAGAACATATGCTCTACATGCAAACTATTTTCATATTTGCAATACTGAAATGGTAAATTACACTCATCATGCAACAAGGGCACAGCACATGACAAACCACAGGACACCACACTAGTTAGTGTGCAAAGATTTTGTCACCTACTTGTCAATAGAGCCCACCATGTAGTAAACCATTGGAAACCAACAGATTGCATCCAGAAAATGCATATCTGGCCTAAGTAGCAGATGGGTTACAAAATGAAACACAATGTCACAAGACTGGCAGCACTTTTAAGGGACAGGAAGTAAGTTGATTTAGTTTGCATTTTCAAAATAAAACACTATCAATCAGAGTCATTTGAAGTAATTTTTTCTTTGATATTAACTAGAAAATATTTGTACTTGTTATGAATAAATCAATGTACTCAGGATTATAAAAAACAAGTTGTATTTCTGCTCTGTAAATCAGAAACATTATGGCATAATTCTACAACAAGTACTAAGCCGCTACTCTTAATTATGACTCACTAAATCTTACTAATGAGTTTAAAAGTTATTTATGGAAATAAAGGCTTACACAATGAGAAAGTAAGGCTATTATATGACCCAAAGTATAGGGAGCTCAATTCATCTTCCAACTAAAGGCAACTTTCTCTAAGGGCTATGTAGAATGACAACATGCACCTTAATATATCAAAATATCAAGTAATAAATGTTGATATTCATACCCATACAATATAAAATGTAAAATTAAAATGAAAGTCACTCAGCTGTTAGATTATTGATTTACTCGCTACATACTATAGACTAAATATTTACTATAACTGAAATCTTTACTTAGAGGCATATCTGGAGTAATTGTAAACCAGTAAACTTCCTCAGAAATCACTTAATCCACTGCATTCATTTTATAAAGTTGGTGATCTTTTTTACTGAGCATATATGTCTTCCGAATATTTTAAATAATAGACGTCTTAATATACTTAAGCATATGCAGTAAGTATCATATTGCACAGATTATCATATTAACTTGTACTGTAAGAAACACAGAAGTTTGGGTATGGCCAAAACAATATATTACAATGTATGTTTTAATCTGAAAAATTAGCAGGAGGTTGTCCTCAGGAGGCAGTAAAGGGAAATATTTCACAGAGGTGATATTTTACTTGATATTGAAGGATGAATTGGAATTTGCCCAGCACTAGAGAACGAGAGGGAGATTCTAGGCAACCCACAATACCCCACATATTTATCTTAACTATGTGCTGTCTTCTCCTCCCTCAATAGTTATCTTTCTGTTGCTTATGCTCTTACCCCTTATACTCTAAAGAAAAAAAAAAAAGCTTAATACAGGGAAATCACAAAAAGAAATCTCCTTAAATTTACCATTATAAATTCCTTCATCATTAGATTTCTTTGTAGCATTTTAAATCGTTCCCTATAGTTACATATTATAAATGTACCACAGTTCATTTTTAAAATCCTCAATTATTCTCATGTATGTTTTAAATTATTGAAATTACAAGTTATTTCCAGTATGTTGATACTGTAAGTCATATTGATAGAAGCATGTTTGGGTGACTAATTTTAAAAATGGTTTTTATCATTCAAATGAAAAAATTATAGAAGGGTATTAAGAAATCACAGATTATAAATTCCAGAGCTCATGATATATGTTATCAGCAAATATAGCAATAGATAGCAGCCTTTGTACCTTCTAGTTTGTTGTTTCTAGGCCTTTAGTTATTTCTTAAACTGAGAAAGGCCATTCTAGCTGCTGATCCAAGACACTCCATGTCTCTTCTTTAAAAAAATAAATAAATACTTTATTTATTTTTGCATAGAAGAACTGGGTGTAGAGCTGGGTTGTAGGCCAGAGGTGAAGGGTGGGTGAGAGGTTCACCTGAGACAGAATGGGGAGCAGAGAAAGTGGATCTGCTGAAATACACTGCTGAGCAGCAGGCAGGTCAGGAGAGGTCTGCTGTGCCATGTGGGTCAGCTCCCTGGTTGGGGGATCAAACTCAGGCAGCGGCAGAGGGCCTTCACTGGTAATGTTGAGACTGAATCCCTAGGCCACCAGGGAGGATCCTCTATCTCTTCTAAGTCTGATTATAGAAGCCCTCCTTGGGATGCATGTGCTACAAAATTGGTCAGTAATGAAAACAGTAGTAGTATGAAAATTATTTTGCATGCTTCTTTTTTGTAGGGTGTACTTTGATTTATGTATTAACTCTTATATAGTTTGAATGAGTAAAAGTAGTCAAGTGCTAATGTAGCAGAGTTGGGTCCATAAATATTTGTTACTAATTATAGATGCATACCTTAGTGGAGGTAACCTACCTTTTAATCTGACTCATTCATTTAAATTAAAATAATTTCATTTTCTTTATCTTAAACTCTCTGATCATTTGTCCCCTGTGACTGTATCTTTCTTCTAAATGAATAAAATAAATCTTAAAAAAAACTCAAAATTACTTAGGGAAACACATTCATTTTTGTCAAATGCATTCTGGCCATGAATGCATTTATAATGTGCAGCAATCTTATAAATCCTTAGAAATTACATTAGCATCTGCATCCTGGTAGCAAGGTTCATCCTTACATCATTTCAGCTATATTATAAGGTAAATGAAACATGGTAAATATATGCTTTTGAAAAATATCTAATGTAGATTGTCCAATATGCCATGCTCTTTGAAAAATTTATTTTTTGAAAAAGTTTATACTACTTTTCTTGATAAAGGGGGTTGAAAAGTAAACTGAAATACAAAGAATGAATCAACTGTATACCTACAGGTAATACAATTTAAAGACAATAGTAATAGTGTTAATGGCACTATACTGCTTAATAATATAAAGCACTATAGATAATACCATAGCTTCTTAGCAGACTAATCTTTTTAGTTATTGAGAAATAGTTAACTGAGAATAATGTTGAAATTGAAAGCAACAATATTGAAAATATTTACATGAAAACATAAAGCACTGTAAAAGTAGAAGAGGCTCCATTTTTTAAATTCTACAAACCCAAAACAGAAGAAGAGTGGAACATAAGAGATTAAAGCCATTAAAACAATACAGTAAAATGTACACATCTTTTAAAATCTGTTAGATAAGGTCTATCTTTGAAATTACATTAAGGAAAAGTGGTGAAAATGGTTGATGGAGTTAACTATAAAACTCATCAAAAATTTAACATGTAGGAAACAGTTAAAAATCTGTTTCTTACATAAAATTCATAAATCAAGTTTGCTTAATATATGAATGTGTATTTCAAAAAAGAAAATAAATATGAAAATAAAATAAACATAGGGCAAAATAAGTATGCACAGATAAAACAAATTACAGTTAACAAATAATGAAAGAAAAAAATCCAACAAATCCAACAAGAAACTGACATTAGTAAAAAGAAAAGCAAGCATGTCCTAAGAGTCCTAACAGTATTAAGATTACTACGGATGAATATAAAAGTCTTTCACTATAAAAATTGCCATAATATACAAGTATTAATTAACATGCACTTGGTAGAGAGTAAAAAGTAGGTTTGTGAATTTCATGAATTTATAAAATTATTTTTAAATATAGTCATTTAACAAATGACTATAACATACAGTTTCTTTATTTCAAATTCAGTAAATAAATTCAGCAAATCTTTATGAGAGCAGTATTTTGTCAGCATTTATAGTTCCACTTTTAAGGAACCATATATATTTTTTCCATATATATGTATACACACGTTTACATGTACATGTATGTATGTGTAGTTTAATTTCAACTACTTGAAATAAATTTTATATTTGATTAATTAGGTTTTTACACAAATATACCCACCAGCTGGAATAGTGACAGTGACAGTCTCAAAAACTTGATTGGTAGAAGGGAAACAGACATTTTCTGACATCTTTTTACGACTCAGCTATTGCACTAGTGTTTCATGCAAAACTATTAATATAGTTTCAAAGTACTTCATTAAGACAAGTGTTCTACTCATTTTCTAAGTGAGAAAATTGAGGTTTGTAGGAATTAACACACAACAGTTCTATCACAAGGGTAAGCTTAAACCTCAGGTCTGCAGAAGTCCAAAATTTGCGTATCTTTAATAACACGTTGATATACCAAGCAGCCTATCATTACTTCTGAAATAAGCTGAACTGAAGTTTACTTGGCACTCTGTGCAAAAGGGAGATTGATTTAGTAAAGGGATAGTGTGACAAGATGTGAAAATTAAGAATATAAGCCTGGATCTTCTGCCTTAACTGTATGTAGTTTGGGGCAGTAGAGTTTACAATTTCAGACTGCTTTTTTCATTTCCCAGATGCAATAGAATGCTCAGATGACCATGGGAATTTTAAGGGTTGAGGTTGAATTCAAATTTTAAAAATCAGTATGGCAAAACAAAAACAAAAATAGATGGTTTAGAACATCCTGCCAAACAATCAGAATTAAGACTAGTTCGAATGACCCAGTACTAAGTGTAGGATATTTTAAATGTGACTTGCTTTACTTAATTTCAGTATGATATCTAGAAGGCATTCTTAGGCCACCCTGGTGGGATGCAAGGGGTTAAGTCTCAGCACTATGAAGCTATCCATAGCCACTGCAGCACAAAATCAATACCGGGCCAAGGAGCTAACTCACAGGGTGTAGCACCCCTCCTGTCTCATTGGCTGCTCCCCTCAGCAGTATATTTCAACAGATCTTGCTGTTCTGCTTCCCACCCTGTCTCGGGAGAATGCTCTTATTCCCTCCCCCATACCTCTGGCCTATACTCCATTTCTTGTATGCATAAATAAATAAACCTTAATAAAAAAGAAAGCATTGTCTTTAGAAACTCTTATTTTGACATATAATGTACATGATACAACAAATTTTACTTATACTTTAAAATCCCATACTTATGACTTCTGTTATTATTTGTTATATTGTTAACTGTCTTTCAGCCAAACTTCTTAGCAATATACTGAATAAAATTTTCAGCAATTCACATGTGAATTTAAAACAGTCAAACTCCAATAAATTAATAATTTAGTTCATACAATCATTCATTTACAAATTCTTAAAGGAAAATATTTCAAAAATGAAAGTATAATATTTCTTTGTACACTTGTGGAATAGATCACAAAACATTAGCAGAACACAGGAGAGCAACAGGTCTCTCATTGTTTAAAAAAAGGATTGCACAAAACTTCATGTATTATTTATTAGTGTTTAACTTTGATGTCCTCATTTTTGACCTAAGTAATGAAGAACAACAAATAAAAATGCTAGATGCCACTTTCGGGAAGAACACAGGTCACGAAATATTTTACAATAAGCATTCTGCCCTTATCCACAAAATAAGTAAACTTAACCCCCACAACTATCATCTACCAAATAATACAAGGGGTCATCTGTAGTCCAAAACTGAAGTCATTAGAAAAGAGATATTTTAATATAAAATGATCTAGAAATAAAATACAGTTTTTAAAAATATTGTCTAACAGTATTTTTTTTCATATATAAAACCCATACATTAGTAAGATTATGATTGAAAGAATAATAAAGTAAGAGTTGCATAGGATATTCTAATCCTAGAATTGACCTTTAAAAAGGCATTTAATTTCTTAGGGTCTGTTTCACCTTATCTGTAAAGTAAGAAGCAGTAATATATCGCCAAGTAATAATCTTTGTTTTATTTAAGTGTTATCACTGTAACTTGAAACTTTTGAGATGCTAAGGTGCTTGGAACATCTCTCTGAAGATAAATCATTATATAAATGATTTTATTTATTATGGGAATAAAATGTAAAATAAGGGTAAATTGTCTAGATGTCTGACTGGTAAATGCTTCAGTTATTATATAAAGCAAAAGTGCAGATAATAAATGCTAATTTTATTAGATGATCTCTATGGCCTCCTTGACAAAAGTCTCATAAATGCTATAGCTTGCTTTATAAACAAACACTGAGCAATTTTTCTGTAATTAAGAGAAATAGTGTTCAGATTTTTCTGTGCTAGATGAGATTCAGGATTTAAGACAATAGAAACAACAGCTTGAATTTGTAATTCTAATAAAACAGATCAATCAATCATTCAGTAACCTGGCATTTTGGGAACTTCTTTATTCAAAACCAAATAGCAAGCGAATGGCTATAGGCTATTCCAAAATATGCATAAAATACATATGCAAAGATTCTCTAGGTCCTGCTCCCTGGTCACTGAGATAATGAGGTAAGTAAAGGGGACTCATGATTCTGAGTCAGGATTACTTAGTAAAATTGGAACTAGAAAAAGAGAAGAGCAGATCTATGTTCTGTGCAGAAAACTCCACCCCCAACTGTGGAAAGACCGATTCTTTTAGAAGGTTTACGTATCAGCACAAGAAATTTTTATCTTGAAATAATGTAAACAGGGGAAAGCACAGTTTTAACTTTTACTCTACCAGTGGGGTACTATAAGCATAGTTTCACTTTATTCCCCCAAGTCTTTTTTTGTTGTTGTTTTTAAGTTCTGGATTTGAGTTGATCCACTTTGATCAAAGTTATAGCAGATGGGAAGCTCTAAGGCAATCAATGTGTAAATGATCGTAACTAAAAACTTATTTCTAGGGAAATGAACACAACATAAGCAAAATGAACAAAGACATTTTAATTCACATCAACTGAGCATTTCTCTTATGCCAGCTCTACCAGTCCCTTAAAGGTTCCTACTAGAAGAGCTTTAGTATTAAGGATATGGGCAGAGACCCTGGAGGTTTTGGTAGTAAGTACAGCACTGTTAGCATTTACAGCCATTCTGTTCCATGATCATACCACAATACCACTTTTGTCATGGTGCTTTTACTTTGACATTCAATCCAAGTTTCTGGTGGATCTAAGTCTTTACCTTTTCTTATATACCAGCATGGTATCAAAGAAGTAATTGAGCTATTATTGAACTGGAACCTCTATAGGTATTCTCATTTTTAGAATTGATTATAATTGTGATAATGATGCTAAGACATCAGTGAGTGTCTTGACATTTATGAACTTTCTTTTGAAAATTTTAAAGGCCTAGAGACAACACAATATATTTTTGCCTGAAGTAGTTTACCCTAAAATTTGTTTCACTTTGAAAATAAATTGGACTGTTGGAAGATCCTAAAGTATGGTGTTAATCTAAAAACCACCTGCTACTAATTCTGAGTCATGGAGAAGAATATCATAATTTTAGGATACAACTGATTTGACCATAGCATTTAGTGGTTTATATTTGTATTTGCATGAGGATTTGGAAATGCTTAACTAGTCTTATCTCACGAAGAGTGTATCATTTTAAAAATAAATGAACATGGTAAAATATTAATTACTCATACCACATTATAAAATGTATGTCTTAAAGGAATAAACATCATAAATTATGAAAATACATCATGATATAACATGTAAAAATGGATCATTAATATGAACATACTTCTCTGATAATTAATGGTTCTTTAGAGAAACAACAAAATTGTCCAGTTTTGGCAAAGAATTTTCCAGGCCAGTTGATTAATTTAAAGAAAATTACTGTAATTACTTCAGTGGCGTGTTTCTCACTGATTATTCAGTAGATGGCCATTTGCAAAATAGTTTTAAATAAAAAGCTCAGAGAATGCCAGTGATGCTTTAAGTAGTACTTGTGAAATATAACCATATCCAATTATAGTTTTGTTCCATACCATAGAATATATTGCCGGATGAATCATGTGCCATAATGTAACTGATTTAAAGTATAATAAGCAAATTAAAGTAAGTTATTTTTGACATAATAGTAAAAAAGCTCTGTCTCTTTTCTGTATTTTAAAATATACTTACGGGTTATCCAATAGCAGTACTATAGGATTAAGTTCTTTCTTTGGTCTATAATATGCCCTGAGAGGAACAATAAAATTATACAATCCATTTCCAGCTGTTTCAGCTGCAACTATAATTAGTTTATTTTTGAATCCATAGGCTTTTGCGTCCTCATAGTAGTTATGCTGGCAACTCTAGAGAAGAAAAATTATACAAAAATGCCATTTTTATAATCCACTAAAATTTGGTGAACACCGTAAGATATAGGAAATGGAAAATTATTCTAAGCTAGTGAGTCATTTATTTCCCACAAATTTAAAACTTGTTACATTTCCCTACATCCAGTTCTCTAGCCCACTTTAGAAAACATTAGTTTACATAGACAAGACAGATGATTTACACCCATGTAGCTTGATGTGAGAGGGAGAAAAGTCAGTAATGTGTGAGTACATGTGTTCTATTGTAAACTAAAACTTAATGCTGGATAATAACCGGGTAACTATACTTATAGATTATCACCAAACCATACACATATCAGAAATCACATTATATAACCTATGTTTTCAATATATATCAATAAAACTAGAAAAAAGGATCTACCTCTGAGTTTCATTTTCAGAAATATAGTCATAATTTAATAACCTTGGAACATTTGAAAAGATAAGACATCTAAAGGAATTTCTTGTCATTAAAAAACAAAAGCAAAAACAAAAGAAGAAAGCACAATTGTCTAAAGGCATATCTGAGCTGAAAAATATGATAGAGTTACTTAAAAGTAAGATACTGATGATAACAACAACAAAATAACAATACTTTAGCAAAACTCATTGCTCTTCTAAAGGTATTTTGCTAAGGGTGGTGTCTAGAATTTTTTGGATTTAGTTTAGTTAAACCAAGATTTGTTAACACTATATTTTTTCTGCTTGGAGAATTGCTTTATTGTTCTGCTTTTTTCATCTTTACATGTCTCTATGTGCGTTTCTTTTTATTTATTTGGATTGAAATTAGTTGGTTCTCTGTAATTCATTATCGACTGGAATTTCTCTACCTTTATTCTTTTTTTTTTCTGCCTTTATTCTTTTTTTTCTGCCTTTATTCTTTAATAAAAAGTTAGAGAATACTGGTGGGATTGAGTTGGCAGAAATAATGAACAATAGAATATGCTCACAAAAACTGTAAATTTTTAATAAATTTTTCTCTTACTAGACTCAAAATATAAAATGTGTTATCACGCTTAAAGAAATTAAAGGGAATACATAAAGTATTAAAGAGGAATGAGAGGGTATTTAAAATATCCAAGTAATGTTTAAGGGTAGATATACACCCTTTAGAACTAAAAAGTAATATAATTAAAGAATAGAAACTCAAAAGTTGGTTAAATCTCACATTTGATATTGATACTATGGAAGGGATCAACTGCATAGTAGAAGTTGAGGTAAATATATAGAATGTAGAACAAGTCAGAAAAGAAAAGTATGATAGAAAAACTAGATAGTTGAAAAATATTGTGAATGTCTAACATAAATTTAATCAGAATACCTGAAAAATAGATGAGAGAATCAGAAAGATTCAAATAAATGTTGACTGAGGATTTCTAGAATTAATGAAAAGCCTGAATCCCCAGGTTCTGGAAATCCAATGACTCCTAATCCAAATAAATAAAAAGAAATCCAGTGTCATACACATCATAATGCAAGGGCAGAACAACTAAAACAATGAGATCTTAAAAACAGCCAGAAAGGAAAAAGAGGGGTTATCTAAAAGGAACACAAATTAAAATGATGGCTGATATCTCAACAGCAACATGTAAATCAGAAGGCAGTATATGAAATCTTAAAATGCTAAGAAGGAAAGAAAACTCATGCCTGAAATTTAAAACATAGCAGAACTGTGTTTCAATAAGTAAAACACAGGACATTTTTAGGGAAACTTAAATTGCGATCTCATAAACAGAATTTTTAAACACTTTAATCTAGGATATAGGAAAATGAATCTAGAAAAAATGTTTAAGGTTAAAAACAGTGGTGAAAAGGGAAAATGATAAATAAAGGCAATCATTCTATTGGGATTATGATAGAAGAATTACTAAAATAAATCAAATGAAGGAATAAAATCAGTCAGAAATAGGTCATCAAAGGAGAAGAGTGACCAGTTGATTTTGGAATTAACAGGAACTTCCATATTTATGAGATTAAAATAAAGGGAAAAAATAGGAGTCTTAGAAGTAACTCAACTAATAAGACAAAAACAATGAGAGGACAGGGAATTTAATGTTGATAAACTTTGGTCAGGGACCCATCTCTGCGGATACTGATGCAGAATGGACTGGACAACATAATCCCATCTCACACATCACAGTTGCCAAAGTGGGCCCTCATGTACACACCAAGTCAGAAGTCACAAGTCAGTTAGTAATACTCAGAAATGTTGCTTTCTTAATATGATAAAGAGAACAATTTCTAATCTTTGATTTTTAAAGATCTCTATGACTCCATCAGTGCTCAGCAGTTTAGTCTTTCCAATGGATCCGATCTCTTGCTTGGAGGTTGATAATTTCCACTCTTTATTCAGTTCCCAACTGTTTTATCTCTATTTAATTGTGTATTAAAGAGTAAACTGCTACCAGAAGTGATTTCAGGTTTCTTGGGGTCAAAAGCTTGAATTATTTCAGAGAAACTCACATAATAAAAATATTATAAATTAAAAAACAGAGTTTTAGTAAGCCAATATAGGTGAGGGACCCTGAAGATTAAGATTATTAATGTTATGAAAAATACACAGCTGGCTAGCAGTATAAACTGCTGCAGAGCAGTAAATAGGAACTGAAAAAAAATAGGGCAATATGAAATGAAATGTACATTTAAATGGACCCAGATAAATATTTAGGAGCAGTTCTAAACTTCAGGATGATTAAGGCAGAACTTTGCTAATGTGTTATTACTCTTGTTCAAGAGTAACAGCAGCAAACAAGATTCAGTATGTTTATCATATTAAAAAGTAACAATAACTAGAATATTAATAAAAGCGTAGCAAGTGTACTGCATTAATGTTCATAAATCAAGCTTCTGGCACCATGCTGAAGCTTTTAGCATGTGCTCGTTTATATAACACTCACAAGACCCTGTGGGGTTCATATTAAAATCACAACCATTTTACAGATTAGAAACTGAAATTTAATGGTGACTTTATTTGCCCAAATTGCACAGCTTGTAAATGGAGAGCTGGTAATTAATCATGGCTAACATTTAATTTAGAGTAGACATTTAGAAAGACAGTTTAAGGAAGACATTTCTTATTAGAATTAATGGCACATTTTAATTTCTAAGGGATGCAGTTGGGATTTGAGAAGGTTTTTTTTATGAGCTTTCTTCTTCTGAAGAATAAACTCTTAGTGAAGAGTTTATTATCTAAGAGCACACTGGCCATATTGTGAAAGAGCTCAAAATTTTTCATTCTTGAAATATTTCTGTTTTGTTTTATTTCTACAGAATATCTAGACTTGAGCCAAGCTCTACAGTAAACATTTAGCAGATATTAAGGATCATGTTATTTGGCTTCCAGTCCAGTCAATAATGAATCTTTGTGACTAACAACAGACCAGCTAATTTCATCATGTCAACCAATTCCACACTGCAATTTAAGGCAAAAATGCCTGATAAAATTAACAGTGCACATTTGGTCTATGTGATTTTGGGAAACTATGTTGTTGAGAGTTCATTGGTGGGAGATTCTGGCATCTCTGTTTTCTTTCAAAATATAATTGACTGATTCATTCAGACTTTAGTGGTGTGAAACATCTGGATAAACTTTATCATAGATAATGAAATAAAATGCACCAAATTATGTCTAATCTTTCCATTTGAAGAGTGCTTTTTAAACATGTGAGTCAAAGGACTATAAAACTATTTAAATATATGCAATTGCAAAGTGCCTTAATTTCATTTTAGGAGAAAATAACAGCAACAATTGCTTACCTTGTCTAATCTTAAGCAGCAAAATGGCATTTTTTCATGAAGAAGATGACAAAAAGTGGGTGAGCTTCCTATATATGGAGAATAGGGTGGATAGCCTTTAGCATATCTGTAAAACAGAAATTGTAAACTGTTTTGAACAAAGCATGCAGAGTTAGGCAATTAAATTATAGTCATGTTCTTGTATTCTGAAAAAGTTAGAGACTATAATATATTGAAAAGAAATACTTTAGAACAGGGTAGGAAACAAGGGTCCAAGAACCAAATCTGGACCCTCTGGGAACTGAGAGTGAATTTTAGTTTTAAATGATTGTAAAAAATCAAAAGACTATTTCAAGTCACATTAAAATTGTTTAAAATCAAATTTCTATATCCATAAATTGAGTTTTCTTTAGAACACAGGTATGCACATTCATTTGGTATCTTGTCCATGGATGCTTTAGTATTTCAAAACTAGAGTTGAGTAGTTGCAGCAAAAACATACAGTCCATAAAGTCAAGAATATTTATGAACTGCTTCTTTCCAAAAATCGTTTGACAAATCTTAGTCTAAAATTTTAGAGGGATTTGAAATAATAAAAAGAACTGCTTTCCAAAAATGGTCTGAGAAATCTTTGTCTAAAAATTTAGAGGGATTTAAAATAATACCAACAATAAGTATATTGAATAACTAATTTTTACAAAATATATTAAAACAAAAGATATTATCATTCACTATCAATAATCATTAGCCATGGATATATAAGAAAAAGGGAATAAATGATTAATTATTCATTTAAACCTCCACAAAAACAAACTTTTGCTTGAATTATGTTGATGATTATAAAAATAGTCACACATTTTGGTTGTGCAAATTTTCAAAGTGAAATTATCAAAAAGTAGCAACATATATAACAATAGAAGAAAATCTAACTAAGGTAAAATTTCTTTACCCAGTGTGAAAGCTCTCCTTTTTAAAATAAAAGTTAGCTTTACATTTCACACTTATTCAGAACTATTTTCCATACATCATTAACTGGGAAGTTTAAATGAGGAATATTTAGAAATTCAGAAGACTTTATCACTTCAAAAAGTTTTTCATTTTTAGAAATAAAAAATTCAATCTGAACCGTTTAGAAGTATAAATAAGGCAAGAATTTCAGTTCTAAATCACCATTTTAAGAGATATATTTCTAAGTATGTTTGTTCCCATAAATATTTCATAAATATATTTGAATACAGTTGATTCTTTAGAAGGGACTGTGTTCTGTGGCTGCATCAAAGTCTCTTGTAGCAATTTTTTTTAAGCCTGAGGGATTAAAAGGAAATTCTTTATAAATTTCAATTATATTTCAGTTAATGTTTAAATTGACATTACTTGAACATCAATTGCCTGAAAGAGTTTTGGAAAAGTGTTTGAATGGTGTCATCACTGCCACTAGCACTAGTTAACGTACATAACTGTAATTAATATTCATTTATTGCTTACCAAAGCATTATCCTTAGCACACATTTTCAACTTTAATTAACTTTCAGAGGAACACTATCAGGCAGTAATTATACTCACTGTACAGATAGAGAAATTGTGGTCTCATTGTTTAATAAAGGTAAATTGTACACACCAGTACAGGTTGGCACTGTCATTGGCAATAAATTCTTTCAGACTCAATAGTCAAGTGTATTCATCACTGTGCTTCCCACAAGAAGTGATTGCATAATATACAGCTGCATCAACAAACTCTACTGAAGGCTTGTAACAAATGACATATATATTGATACTGCTTATGATGGAAGCTTAGGGAAAAAAGCAAGTGCTTCACTTAATTCACTTCACTAATTCAACTGTACTCAAATATATTTATGAAATATTTACCAGGAACAAATATACTTAGAAATATATTTCTTAAAATGGTGATTTAGAATGTAATAATAAAATATTATTGATACCCTGTATGAAAAAGACTACTTAATGTTGAGATAAGGAGAATAGACAATGGAGAAAGTTGTTTATGTTATTGAGTAGCTGAACTTCAATGGAGGCAGAAGATGATGAAGGTAGAAGGTAGAATACAAGCTAACAAAAACTTGATAATGTAGTTTATATTGTGGAATTAGGGACACATTTTTAAGGAAAACGGATAATTTAAAGACAAAAAAGAAGGTATGGATATATATTGATATCAGGGATTGTTTGCTTATAATACTTTATAGTTAGATACTGGCTACTAGTAAGGGTGTTTGGAAGAAGTATGTATGATTGTAGGACTCCCAGAAGGTTAGGACATTTTTTTCTCTATGGCATGCACAACTTCTTACTGAGAGTATCTAAACATACTCTAAGTTAGAGGAAATGTCTTCATCTGGTGTAGCTTCATCTTCTGATTGATCGCTTAGAAGATCACATGTTTGAATTGATGACACATCTGCAACCTCTAAAACAGGCGCAATGCTAGGTCTTCTGATTTCTTTGTTCCCCTCTGCAGGAAGAGACAGGGTAGGGCCACTTGCTGATCTACAACTTGTGTCTTGCAAGTCTATAGCCACAGTACCTAAAACAATGAAACATGAATATCCATCAAGACATTTGCTGTTTATATAGCGCATCAATCACTTACTGACCAAAATGAAAAAAAAAAAATAGAATCAGTACAAGCAGAAATATATTATTGTTTACCCTTTATTCCCAAAGTTTCTTTCTTTTTCATGTGGGTGAGAAAAGTAAGGCAACAAGACTAGAAGCAAAGAGATGGTAAGAATTCTAAAGACCCTTTAGTTGAGGGAGTGATGAACAAAGTGGAGAATATTATAATACTGAGAGTAGACATCCAGAGAGATGAATGACTTCAGGAGACACTTAATAATCAGATTTAACAGAGCTTAGTTATCATGAAGGGGAGGAGAAGAATGGTGAAAGTTAGAATAGCAACTGAATTGTGACAGATTATGGTATCTGGTATTTAGCCAAGATTAATAAGAAATATAAAAACATCAGACACTTATGGTCTAATCAGAAATTTAAAGTGATTGCTGGTAGTTCTTAATTAGTGAAATTTCTTACCAACTTAGAAACTTAGAATGTTTTCTTTATGTTTACATATACAAAGTTTGTAATATATACAAATACGTTTTAATTTTGATTTTAGATATTTAGAATTTTAATAAAAATTCAAATACAAATCACTACCTTTTAGAAAGAAGCTCATTGTATATTCCTTTCCTTATACTTACCCATGCTGGCAATTATACTATGTACAGGCAATCTAGATGGCCCATGATAAAATGAGCTTGATGAATTGCTTTGTTTCTGCTGGTCTTGATTTTTAAATGCTGAATTCTCTTCTTTGGTAATATTAATATAAAAACATATATCACTAGCATTCATAATATACCGAGGACCTGGATTCATCAGTATGTTTTTATTGTCTTCCCTTCTAACACCAATCAAGCAGACACCAAACCTTAATTTAAAAAAGAAAATAAAGGAGTTTAAGAATTAAAATTCAGCAAAGGTCCCAGTTGTTTCTTTTAGGTGTGTATATGTAAACAATTAATAAACTATATAAGGCAGAGAAAGTTAAAATCCCATATCACAGTTCTTTAAAGCTTGAAAAAGTATCCTAAAAATTCGGGAGACTTGCTTTTACAGAAAAAGAAACTATATCTTTGGCAAGTTGTAAAACCAATTTATACTGAGACATATTTTTAATGCAGAATAGAATATAAAAGAATAGAAATTATATGAATGCATATTATTTAGTAAAGCTAGTAATTTTCTGTAAATTTTGCCTGTGTATACTGAGTCTTACCATGAACTATACTTTGGTCAAAAATATAAACAGTATTTCCTCACTTCAGTCAAAAATGTTTAAAGGCCACTTGCCTCATGTTGTAGAGGAAGACAGTTCCCGAGAAGAGAATCAGGATCTCTACATTTTTGTTATTCTCTATCTACTAAATTTTTTTACTCTGAATTTCACGTACAAGTTTTATTTTAATTTAGGGTAAAAATGTTTTGTTTTGATATGTTTTATAAGTGTTACAAATAATTTAACTTAAAAATTTTTAAAGAGAAAATTCGTATGTGTAAATAGAATCACATTGAGAACGTGGAAAACCTTTTATGTTACACTACTGGGATATACTAAGTATATACAAATCTGTAAAGTGTTATGTTACTATGTTTACCATACTGATGTTATTTTGTTGACAAACATTTACTTTTACTTCTAACGTAAACAATTCGTCTCCAAAGGAAGGGAAAATAATGTTCCATTTATTTTTTAACTTGTGTCTCTGGTCAAACAAAGTTTTAAAAAATGTCCAGTTTTATCAGTGTTACTCTTTGTTAAAGTTTTAATCAACACTTTAAAATTTAAATGTGTACTGAACATTCACTACTATACAGTTGTGAATTCTGGGTTAAAATGTTTTAAGATAATTTGAAAGTTACTAAAGTAAATGTTCCTAATGAATTACATTTTGTACCTGACAATATAATTCAGGGAGACCACACATTAAGGACTGAGTTATAATGTCCATAAACATGTCACAAAACTTGAGAATACTTGCAACTCATGAGTACCAATATGGGTTGTAGTTTAGAAAACTGTTTAAATCATATAACTGCTTTATATTTTCCATTCTTGGGAAGCAGAAACATACTTTTTATGTGCATGGAAAGAGGCATATGTAAAACTCTTTCCTTCATATTCAGCAAAAAATGTACTCTCTTCCAAAACAATGTGGTATACTTCGTTCCCAGAGCATCTACCATACATCTTCTGCCACTGTTCTGGTGACTGCTGACCTTCTCTGCAACGAAAGCACACACACATACACACACAAAGAGAAAACTCAGTGGAAGTAGTTACAAAAGCACTTGTCAAACATAGCCTGGAGTTTCCACACTATAAGAACTGGACACCACAGTTCAAAGACATTTCTGTGTGGTGCCCTAAATGATGGCTTTATTTACAAATATTTACAGAGATACTATACAAATCTTTAAAAAAATATACTACCTAGCTTGAGAAGGGAGAGAGTCTTTAATGGAAAATTTTCACTGTTCAGCTAATGAAAGCATTTAATTGACCATGAACCAAGGATGTAAGAATTTTATTTCCAATCTCTTTTTATGTATTTCCTGTCATACATACCATATATATGTTATTTATATATGTGTATGTGTTTGCACATACACGCCATAAATATATGGTATTCATATATGTATATATACATGTATGTATACATATATACACACTTGTTTTATCATGTTAATAATATGATCCACTTCATCTCATTCATGATACTTGCTTGACTTCTGTAGGTTTTTATTTTTTTGTGATTATTGTTATAAATGTACAGATATCAGCTTATCAAAATGTTTTCCTATTTCTACCATGTTACAGGTATGACTTTTTCAAAATGTGTAGCAGTTAAGAAAAATGACTCAGTGATAAAAATAAAGGCTCCCGAGAGAGAATCCCAGGAGTACTTTTTCAAAAGAAGATCAATTCATTACATTAAATGCAACTTCTTTTATGCTATTCTGCTCAGTAGCCTTGTATATAGATTAAAATTTCAATCATGAGAAACTTTTTATAAATATACAATAGCTCCTTCCCCTAGTAAAAAGATTTCTCTTTACTTTTGTTGAATAAGGCTTAGGAACTCTGTAGGTACAAGAAATGTGCATTTTAGAAGTGATAATTAACTACATAAAAAGCAAATACTTTATCAACTTCTACAGATACCTAATAGAGGAAAACAAACAACAAATATATCTGTGGTTTAGAAGTCTGTTTTAACTCTCAGTTTTGTCTAAAGGACTAATTTATCAACATTTTTGGGTATCAGTACATTATTTTAGAAAACATGTACTTTTCCAAGTCTACTACATTTGTACTCCAATCCTTAAATATGCTGAGAGGAAAGAGTCTGAGGTTGTAGTCTGGTTGTCTGACCTAACTCCAAGTTTGCACAAGGCTGAATTATTTAACTTCTCAAAGATTCTTTCCTGTTTCTGTGAAAAACAGTATTAGCATCATTAGGTTGAATAAAGTGAAGTGATGGAAATAAATTACTAAGCGAATGTTGGCATGACTGTGTAATCAGTAAATTTAGCTTCTTTTATTACTTTTCTGTTATATCTCCTCATAGTTAAAATTTGGAGCCAATTTCAAATTGCCTAGTCAACCCATTAAACAGTGATTGCTTAATACTTTATCCTTCCTTTCATAAGGTTAATGTATCTTTATAAATAGGAAAATAAAAAGAAATACTTTACACTCTTGACTGCATATGGCTACACCTAACTATCACTTCCTAAGAATGATCATTCTCAGTGGAGAAAATGTTCCCTTTGGCAAACAAAAATGAAATTATCTTTGTTATGTACCTCATTGCTACTTGGCAAGATGGTAATTGGCAAAGCTAGAATCCATTTACAGGGAGGGAATATAAAACAAGGTGCCAGTAATCCATCAGGATTTGTTTGCCATCCAAAAAGCAGTCTGAGGTCAAGTAATTGTCACACAAGAGTACTAAAAGTTACTCAACAGAACAGTTAATCTAATTCCAAGGCATGAATGGGAATACACTGTTGTATGGAAACAAAAAATGAGGGGCTCAGACAATTAGACAAGGACAGTTCTAATTAATTTACTTTAATCATTCTTGTTCTCATACTATTTTGTATTATATTGGAAATGTTTACCTCAGGGGACATATTTTCTTTATGGTTTCTTCAAAAACCCAAAATAAGTAACTATCTCTAAGTTCAGCTAACTGTAAATACACAAAATTTTCTAAGTTCATGTTCCTTGATAGAGGTTTGAAATGAGTAACTCTCGTTAGTACAATGGAGAGATGTAGTCCCCATTCTGACATGAAATAATTAATGAGTATATTCAATATGCCAGGAAAGGTTCTAGATTCAAAGGTTATGGGCATTAACAAAAAGGACAAAATGTATTCTTCCTTGAAGCCTCTAGTGGAGGCTTAAAATAGAAATAAACAAAAATGACCACATTATGTCATATATTAGAAGTAACAAGTAATGAAGAGAAAAATATGCAAACAGGGAAATAATGTTTAGGGGTTACTGAGAAGTCCTGGCTGAGAAGATACGATTTTCAATTAGATGAACATCTTGAAGAGAATGAATGGGAAATCACATGGGTAAACGGAGAAAATCATCCCAGGCCATAGCAAGTACTTCCGGAGGCAGGGAATGTCCAATATGACTAAGGAAAAGAAAGTAGACTAGTTCAGTTGGAGTTAAGAAAGGAGGGAAAAATGAGGCCAGAGAGGGAGTCAGGTAGGTATTTGTAAAATTTACCAAGCCTTTGACCTTTGCTGCAGAAGATTTGGCAGCACTGGAGGACTTCAAAGATGACAGCAAAAGATACCAATGTATTTTACAAAAATTTCCCAGGTCATTGTACTTAGATTGAAGAAGGAGCGATGGCCAGTAAGGATGATACTCTAACCTGAGCTAAATGGTGATGGTTTCAACTAGGTTAGGTTCTTGATGTGTTTTGAAGATTGAGGTGTAGGGATTTGCGAGTTAAAGGAAACAATATAAACATATATAAATCTTAACTATTAATGTCAACCAGAAATATGGAACTGTAAATAATACAGAAAAACACAAATAAAAATACAAGTACTAGTGCTTATGAAATAGCATGGAGAATATGCAGATATAAAATGTTAAAGTGGTTCTAGATTTGCCATTATATTAAGCTATGTCCTTAGGAAGAAGAGAAATCTGAGATAGTACATGTGGGCTTTATAAATATCTAGAATGTCTATTTTTAAAATCTGGAATTCTGGGTACATGGATTGTTATGTTTGCATTCTTGCAACTTCTGAATATATAAAATTATTTTTCATAAAGATCAAGTGCTTTGCAAAAGAGGGGAAAAAAAACAGGACCGACAATGAGGGTTTGGGCTTTTGTTTGTCACTGCTTTTTTAGGGTAGTATTTTAAGCCCATTCACTGTTGGAGAACCTGTGCTTACCATAATTTGGCACTAACATTTCATTAAGGCAAAAAGTAATCTTTGCTCCTTCTTCCCAGGATAAATGTATAAAGTTTGATATCCCCCATTTAACTACCTAGTTATTCAACTTATTCAATAATCCATCTTTTTGTCAGATCTCTAAAATAGCTTCATCAAACAATAAATCCCTAATTATATGTTTGCATTATTAATTTGAATTATTTGAATCAACCAAACCACACTGGTTCAATTACTGTAACTATAATATTTTTTAATTAAGGGCAATTTCCTTTAATATTGTTCTTCAAAAATTTTCATGCTATTTCTGTTACTCAATTTTCCCATGTGAACTTTAACATAAGATTTTCTACTTCAAAAAGAATGCTGGGAGCAGATTACTAGGTAGCCTTAAGAAACTCTGGGTGAAAGTGACATCTTTCTAAAATTGATATACTGAACTTTCATTTGCATTGCAGACTTTCATTGCATCTATTTCAGCCTCCTCACCATTGCCAATTATTGCAGAATATAAGCATTAAATCTTGTGAGCCCCAGTGTCTATTTGTTTTCTGTGGGATCTTTACAATTAGTGATAGAACATTTTCTAGGACATAGTAAATATTCAAAAATATTTCTTTAATGACAGTAAATGGCTCAAAATATTTCTTTAATGACAGGATTTGACCCTCTTGGTAAAATATGGTATGCACGCTTTTATTACACCCATTGTCCAGATAAACTGAAGATTAATGATTTCAAATTTCTTAGCAGTCTAGAAAGATTGAAAATTCAACCACACAGTCTGGCTACAAATGCTGCCTGAGTAACTCCTATATTCAGTGTGAAGTTTCTTTATGCAGGCTCCTAGGAATTTAAGAGAGGCTTTAAAAAAACTAATAAGCTGTTCTAGTATTATATATATATATATACATATGTATGTATGTATGTATATATTGTATTGGCATTAAAACAGGTCAAGCAAACAAAATATTTCAGAAATAAGTTATTACATATAAGATCATAAACAAGGGATTCAAGAGAATATACAATGGGGAAAAGATAGTCTCTTTAATAAATTGTACTGTGAAAACTGAGTAATTCTATATAAAGGGATGAAACTACATTTCTACATTAACCATTCACAAAAGTCAACTCAAAATGAATTAAAGACTTAAACATAGGATCTGAAGTATGAGGCTACCAAAAAAACGTAGGTGGTAGGCATCTCAATATTATTAGTCTTGGTGAGTTATTTTGGATCTACACTAAGATCAAGGGCAAAAAAAGCAAAAAGAAAACAGGTTGGACTATATCAAACTAGAAGCTACTGCACAACACAGGATACAATCACCAAGAGGAAAAAAGGCAGCTTACTGAATGGGAGAAAATACTTGGAAATCATATATCTGAGAAAGGGTTACTATCCATAATATGTAAAGAATGCGTACATCTCAGTAACAAAAGATAGACAAAAATTTAAAAATGGGTAGAGGAAATGAATAGACATTTCTCCACAGAAGACATACAAATGGCCAATAGCAGTAATCATCAGGAAAATACCAATAAAACCTTCCTGAGATATCATCTCATAGCTGTTAGAATAGCTATTATCAAAAATACAAGAAATAACAAGTACAGGTGAAACTGTGGATAAAAGCGAGCTCTTCACTATTGGTGAAAATACAATTTGGTTGATGCCACTATGGAAAATAGTACAGAGGTTCTGCAAAAAGTTAAAAGAGACCTACGATATGATTCAGCAATTCCACCTCTGAGTATTTATCCAAAGGAAATTAAAAAAGGAA